CAGTCACACAATCAACTTCCTTGGGCGCGCTGTTTTTGCTTCGCTTTTCGTTATTCGCTTTCCCCATCTTCATCGGTTCCCCCTCTCCCCCCTTCCCTCTTCCTTGTCCCCGCCACAATACACCTTCATCCCTTTCCCTTACCCTTTCCTTCTTTCCTCTTTCCTTCTGACCTTACTTCTGCCATTTTGCCGCCTGCAGCAACTCCATAGTCATCACCATGGGCACCCATCACAACCTCGACTCGTTCACCAATCTCCATCTGCCGCCCACCTTTCTTTCATCCTCTCAGCCAGCACCCACGTCTTCAACACCAGCACACACTCCCAGCTACATCAATTCGATAACCGAGCGTGTCAAAACAGATATTGTCAAGCAGGAAAATGGAAAACCACCACCAAAGCCCCGGAAAAAGAGAGGCATGTACAAAAAGACCATCCTCAGGAAGCAGGCAGAGGCCGCTGCCGCTGCTGCCGCAGGATTACCGCTTCCGCAACCGTCACCAGCTACGTCAGACAATCAGCAGACCGCTTCGTCCGCAGCAGTCTCAGCTGCAAAAGGAAAGGCGCGGGCTGAGCAGCCACCTACTACTTCAACTGTCGAAAATCCTGATGTTCGATCACGCAAGCATGGGCGTGAGCACGCGGCGAGTCCAACAACTCTCGAGATGGAGCGAGAACTCGCCATGCTAGCAGAAGAAGCCGAGGAAGACAGAAGACGTCGAGAGGAGGAGGCTGCAGATCGAATATTGAAACGTGCGCAAGTCGTCAAGGTGAATGTCCAGCTATACACCCATACACAAAATCTTTTCCATGTAACGGACGACAATCCACTAACATGTTCCCCATATCTCAATAGCACCTTCGTTCTCTCAAGTCCAAACTGGCTACCGCGCAGATTCAGATCGGTCAAGATTTGCATTACCAAAGTATCGATCTCTTCTCGCAGTTGTACGATGAGGTGCTCGAAGACATTGGACGCGACAACAACTCAGAGCTGCTGAATCTCCTTAAAAGTTCGGCACAGGAGCAAACGGAGAATCAGGACTCGGACTTGGAGGATTCAGCAGCAGTCGATCACCCCGTACATATGCCAACACGGTCATCCGATAGATCAAAAAAGCGGGATACGGAGAACGACACCTCTACTCATAGGAGCATTCGTCGAGGCAAGCGCAGCAGTCAATACATCGGCCAGTCCTGGGATATCGGCTCTGGACTGGATGGCTTTGGACTGGACGGGCGGAAGACAACATCTGGGTCGTCGAACTATAGGTGCCACCTTCAATCAAGCAATCCTGTCATTCACCTGGACCTTGAGGACGACAACGATAATGATGAGGGGTTTGATGCTCACAACTTAAGGAAAAAGCAGGAAAAGAAGGAAGAGCAACTTGAAGCGCTTCCACAGGCGCGGGAGGAACTTCAGCTTCGGCAGCGCCAGGAATTGGAAGAACTTCAGCTGAAACAGCGTATGGAGCAGGAAGAATTTCAGCGCCGGCAGCTGGAACAAATTCGAGAGTTGCAAACGAGGCAGAACGAGGATAGCAAGAGGTTTGAGACTGCCTGCGCAAGACTGCACCGCGAGCGCTTAGAAGAGCTGATTGAGAGGAAACAGCGGATCAGTCAATCACGGGCGAGGCACAAGGAGTCCTATTCGTCCACATCGCAGTCGTACGAATTCGACAATGGTTTTCAGTCTCCCAGTGCAGGTCGTTCTCCATCACATTCGCGATCACCATCGCCAGCGCCGCCACAGCACCATTCACCTCGACAATCCCACGAGCGCCATTCGTCGTTGATCTATGCCACATCGTCTGCGGATCAAATAATGTCCAGCAAAAATACGTCGTTGTCTTCAGATCCAACTCAGCCAACCCCAAAGTCGCACAAGGTCGACGAAATCATCAACCCTTTGCCCATGTCGACCATGACGCTTGCTTTGACAAGCATGAACGAGAAGAAGAAGCAGCTAAAGAGGGCTTTAAAAAAGCAGATGGCGCAGGAGGACATGTATGACAAAGACGCCGAGAAACACGACATTACAGATCAGCAGGAGACTGGTCCTGGCCGTAGGCTCCTCAGTCCACCAATATGGAGTCAGAAACGCCATGCTGCTGAGGATACAACAAGGATTAAGAGAAGCGCATCTGTGGTCAGTTCTTCAATGTCACCGACACCACAACGTGCACAACGGCATACACCCGACCATCGCTCCCACTTGGATCAAGCTCAAACGCCACGGTCATACGTTAACTCGCATCACCCGTCATCGTTGCATCAAGCGCATCGGGATTCTTCAGAGGAGATGCTTTCGCCAACTCTTAAGCCCAAAGCCAAGAAACGCAAGAATCCAGCGCCGCACGATCATTCATCAGCGACCAAAGCATCCATCGGATTCAATAAGACTCTCTTGAGTCAATTCGACAGATGGAACCAAGATGAAAGGACTGAGAATCTATTCGACTTTGTTTTGAGCGATCCTCCAGATATCGATGTCGACGATGCCGAGGTCGAGGGCCTCTTGGACGACGAGAAACATCCATCAGGACAAGGCGACCATCAAAAGTTAAATGTCACACCAACGTCGAACGCGTTCCGATGGTATCAAGAGCAGCAAATTCTGGCTCAGGAACTTGCAAGACAACCCAAGATCGCACCATTGCAATTATCAGATGACGAGAGTACGGTTGCTCAACGAAATCAGAGGCTGCAGAGCGGGACCACGAGGATGGCAGGGCATACGGCACAGGATGAAGGTCAAGCTCATAATGGATTGGTCTTGGAAGGAGAACTCGTACTAGGAGAAGACCCACTTGCGGCATTCGTCCCTCCTCGGAAGAAACCAAACGACACCAGGAAGGCGCGCGACCATCATCATAATAGCAACCATCACCATAATGGAGGCAGCAGCAGCAGCAGCCATAACCACAGCCAAGGTTTGCAGGACGCCAGCAATCATAGCAGCGGTATGCCAGATTCTTCACCCTTCCTGTCCGCGGTTCAAATGCTGTACTCTGAAGACGGACCGGATGATTGGAACTTTCAGCCATTTTCGATGGACTCTACGGACGAGTACTTGAATCATGATTCGCCTCTGCAGGCCAGCAGCGATTACGAGCAGCTGAATTTTCAATAGCGCGACCGAATATCACACCTCGCTCTCCCGCCAATGATAATAAAAACCTGCCTTTAATATCTATGAAACGAAATCACGAAAGACATTACAAGAGTGGCACAACAACGCCAACATCACTTCCTTAGTATCCAACACGATGAATAGGAACATATACGCAGATTTGCTCAACGACATACGGAAATGAAACCGTACGTTTTACACACGTCTTCGGGGAGAAACAATAAGAGGACTAAGACTAATGTCGACGACGAAGACGAGTAAAATGGATAATGTATCCATAATTCGATCTCAAGTCCATGGACCAGGATGTGTTCAACTTCACAGCGCAGTCCATTTTGTGGCTTCGCTCCTCCCGCCCACCCAAAAAAAAAAGGCGAAGAGCGAAGTTTGTCCCTTTATTCCCTTTATCGCTCCCTTAACGTCCAAGCTGATCCCTCCTCTAGTGCGCTGCGACCGAGCACAGGCCTTGAATGTCGCCCACCAAGCCAGAGGAAGACCCTGCCACGATGGCCATAGATGTCAGTCCAACGCCGGCTACTCCTACCATTGACCTTGTTCCTGCTGCCGACCCATTACCTTCTGCAAGCGATGCTTCCACTTCCTTTCTTTCTAAGCCAGCACCCGTACTCTCTGCCTCCGAATCGTCTTCTACACCCTCTTCTACTTCAATAACTACGCCCGCTCAGCAGTCTGATTCCTCAGCACAGATCCAGGCGCGAACGTCAGGGCAGGAGCAAACCCAGGCATCAGCAACGCCAGCCAGCCCTGTAGTGGGCGGAAACAACAACAGCATCACCACAACTTCGACAAGAACCACCCATGGACCCATCACAACAAGTGTGCTAGATAGAGGACCCCTGGGACTAACATTGGATGAGGAGCAGTGGGTCAAAGATAAGATGGAGTACGCATTATACGAGTAAGTGTTGAACAATGGACGAAGTTCAGTTAGGCCTACCACTTTCCTTCACCAAGGACTAACAGAGAAGTCCCTTCTGGGTATCTTTGTATAGCTTCCAGGTTTTGGCATTGGCAATCAAGCGATACAAGTGGCAATTGGATCAGGTTCCGCGAGATGTCAGTCGACTGCAGAGTTTAAAGAAAATGCACATGAGCGACCCGCTCGAGTTTCTTCGTCAGATCAAGAACAAGGTACGAATGGTGCAATTGACCGAATGCAGGGTAAATTGACTATGTAAAGAATACGAAACGAGCAGCATTTTGACAGCCATAGCCTTTTGTGTTGTTATTTTCTTTAGGAGTTCCGCTATCCCGAAGGGCAAAGGACGCTTCCAGCACCCTCAATCGAATGGGCTAAATATCAGTTCCCTCCAGCAAATCCCGTTGTTCCCACGAGAACTCAGCGTGCGACCTTCCTGAGTTCTGTATCGTTCACAAACAACCGTGACAAGACCAATACTAGTGTCGTTTCAATTGCGCAAAGTAATAACCGATTAAGAGCAGAATCACCATCTAACGACCGTATGCGTGCAGTCAAGGAGACAGCGAGAAGCTTGGGAATTAACATTGTTCACCATCATCAACCAACGTATCACCATCATCATTTCAATCAGGACGCTGGAACCACGTCAGACCGGATAGAGGCGAATGGAACCGAAGACCGATATTCGAGAGACATTAGGGAGCCATCTAGGCGAACATCACAGGAGGTGGGCCAGTTGGGACAAAGCTATAATTCATTTGCAGGGGCGGGGGATCGGGGTAGCAATGATATGGAGGGTATCATCTATGCCAGACAAGGAAACGAAACAGTGGGAGATCGCACAGGAAGCACATCGTATTCTGTACAGACGAGCCATCAGTTACCAGCGCCGCAACCGTCATTTGACCACAAACCGATCGACTCAACCCCCATGGCGGCCCCTCAAAACCACACTATCGACCACAGTCGTGGCTATACCCCTATCCAGTCTAGCGACATTGGTGCCAACAGTAACATCACCTACAATCACATGAGCGGTAGTGTCGATATTCAACCCAACAACACCGCAAGGCCTCGAGGTTCTTCACGGGAGGGAAGTGGAGTTCGCGACGATCCTAAACCACCACTGTATAACATTCCCTGGAGTGATGAGGAGCAACAGCTGTTGGAGAAACTGCTGGAGGTCTATCCGGATGAACCTGTGGCGGCGCAACGGTTCCAAAAGATCTCGGCTGCAATGGGAACGAGAACGCCCAAGCAAGTGGCAAGTCGAGTGCAAAAGTATTTCATCAAGCTGGTCAAAGCTGGACTTGAGGCACCTGGACGTATGAACTACTCGCTGGAGACGTCGAAACCCAAGAGCAAGGGAGTGTCTGCAACTGCCAAGGGAAAGAAACGGAAAGAAGGTCCTGCGGGTACCGTGCCCGGCGAAGGAGCTGCTTCGAAGAGCAAGGCAGCTCGACCCAGGAAGAACGAGGCGAGCATGGAAGCAGGACGGTCCGGATCAGGGGCGGGAGCAAAAAGGAAACAAAAGGCCAAATCGCTTTTGGGGAGCGGATTTGGAAGGACTTCAGGAACACAGTATTTGAACTACTCTTCTGCGCCAACTGTATATATGAGCGAGGCGGATGACGAAGATAGTGTCCAGGACATGCTGGCGGTCAGCAGCAATGGTGTCGGCAGTAATGGTCCGATGAGCAGTTCACGAAGAGAAAGCGCTGATAATGGGGTCGCTACTCACTTGGGCTACTCTGTAAGCAATGGCGTTCAACTTTGGAATACCCTAAGCTCAACGAATCTCAAAGCCTTCCGACTGATGGTATATTTTTTTTTTCTTTTCTTTTCTTTTACTATGATAGTGCGACTCCTGTGGAGTGGAACCAATTCTTGGGATTAGATACTCTTGCATTGACTGCGAGGAGCTTGGAGGCACGGATTTGTGTGGATTGTGCTACAATTCTGGGCAGTACCATAACGAACTCCATCTGCTGTCACATCGCTTTCAGGCCATCGAAAGCGCCGATGTACCGGCGTATAGTCACGACTACAGAGTCTCAATTGCGGGACCAAGTGGGACCAATACCATCCACCACCCATGAAAATAAATAAAAGAAAATGATCTCTCTCGCGCAATCAATGGTGTGGATTGGACTTCTCGTGCAATCTGCCCTCAAGTAGGGTTGCTCCGCAAGTCTTGTGCACCTCTAGAATTTGTTCCCGGTACATCCGAATGGACAGAAGCCGATATCGTTTCTTTGCTTTAACTCGCGTATTGTATTATTTCCAAAGGCAGAATTGAGAAGCATTGCTGATGTGCTTCGTGCATTTCACTGCGGGCTTTATTGAGTGCTTTGGCGATCGTAATTCACCTCGAGTCCGCAGGAGCTCTATCGCTTCCTGCAGTCGCCCGCTTGCCTCGGTCGGCTTCAACTTTATCGATATGACAAAGATCTCGCTTGCTTGTGAGTCGATAGATTTTCGAGCTTGGATCTCGATTGAGATGTCGCCGATGCCGTTTTGGATATCCTCTACATTTCTTCTCATGTGCCTCAAGCCTGGTCTTGGTCTGCGCGTTGAGTGTGTCATTACTACTGCAGCCGGCGCTTTACATTCTGGTTGCCATTGCTGAAGACATGATATCTCGATAGTGCCTATGGTTGCTTTTGTAGGCATAGACCGGTGCAGCTATAACCGATGCTGCTATCAATATCGTGGTCAGTGCTTGGTGAGGCGGTCTACGACTGACAGCTCCATAGAGCGGGTTTACGTGTGGCGGCCAATCTTGACGCTACTATGGTATCGGTGTCCATGATAAAATAAAATAAAAAGCTGTTAGCAAGGAACCCGATTCGCGATGCCACCGAAAAACACTGCAGGAAACGATGCTTACCTGGATGACAGTGCGAGCTCGAGATGAACCTTGCGCAGCTCCCCTGCTACCTCTACCGCACTCTTCTTGTACTTCCTCTTGATCCCTTCCATTGCGCATCGTCCGCAGCCTTTTGCTATCCCTTCTCATCGTTCTCCCCCATTCCCCATTATCTATGATAATATCCCGTTCACCCTTTCCCTCTTGCACCTTGTACACGTTGGCCATCCCCCGCAGGACTCGTGGCCAGCAACCCCCGGGTCTCGGAAACTGCCGTCCCTCAGCTGCGAGAGATTGGCCTGCTGTGTGGCCACAACCCGCACTGCTCCCTGCCTCCTCGCTACCCGCTCCATCACTACCTTAAACTCATGGCGCACTCGCCCCTTTGCGTGTATCTAGCACTAGGCTTGGTTGGACTGGAGCCTTTGCTGCGAGCGGACGGCGCATGGCGGCTGCCGCATCTCGCTCGAGGCAGAAGGGAGCGGGGGCTGCAAGAGAAGCAGTTCAAACAGGAGCAAGAACAAGACCACAGTTGAGAGGCGAGGAAACGACACACAGGCACCCATCATCCACAAGCACGACAGCAAATAATGTACATCAACCATACTTTCGTGAACTCCTAGCTCCTTCTTCTTGACAAGTCCCAGTGGACAGGATTGCGCTGCCTTCAGGATCGTTATGATCGACCAGCAGATACGACAGAGAGGAAAAGCATCTGCTTCCCGGGGGGAAGGAAACATTGTTAGAACCAAGTCGCATATGCTCGCTCTTTGGCAGTAAGCTTTGGCAGTAGGCTTTGGTGCCAGAAAAAAGAACGATGCCATTTGTTTCCGCAGGAGGGAGAATAGCAGAAGCTGGATCTCCAAGCCATACCTTTCTGAGACTCCACTGGCCTCTGCGGTGATCCGTTGCAGTTATATGGCTACTGCTGCTCTTGGATCGCTGACCGGGTTGGGGTTTGCTCTGGTAGCAGGGTAGAGACACTGATGGGCGAAGCAGAGATAAAAGGTGTGGTATAATAAACAAATAAGGGTGTTAGAAATCAAAAGAGTAGGCTCAGGCACAGGCAGTGTAGTTACAAGGTTCACACTCCTAATCGGCGTGGTCGACAGTGAAGGCGGCCTTGGCCAGGTAGATGCAGCTGAAAGTACCATAGCCAAGAACACTGGCTCTTGAGGAGCCAGAGCGGCGGAGAGAGAGTAGGATGTGTGCGGCAAATGCCGGCCGAAGCGCATTCAGCAGCACTGCTGGATAAAAGTCATACGCTGTCTTGGACATGCAAATTGACATGTGTTTTTGGATGAAGGTCCCACAGTCGTCCCACGGACAGTCTGGCCAGTCGCTGCGGCAGTGACTACCTCCTCCGCGGTATAAAAAGACCTCGCTTTCATCTCCTCTCTTTTTCTCCTCATAGATAGCCCACAAGCCTAGCTTGTAATGAGCCCTCTGTGGTCCTAGACAATGGTAAGCGTTGCAGTGACCTCTATTGGGTACGCACTCTTCCCCCGAGAGCCTCCACTCTAATCCCCACGAACACTGGGTAGAGAGGTACGCCCAATGAAGGGGTCGGGCACGCGTATCTAATAGAAGCGCCCCGGAGTCTTTGGCCATCAGGGGGTTCGACCGCATTAGATCGCGCGAATAATGCGAATATATTTTTGGGGGCCTCCTTTGGGGCCTTATTCTCTTTACTCTACAAAAATAAGAAAAAGAAAAAGAAAACGGCACAAGTGTAGGCAAAGGGAGCTCATGGGGAGCAAGACAGGAGCCTGATGCAACGCTCATGTTGCTTTCTGCATTCATCCTGAATCAGATCACCTCGCAACTTATACGGTACTCTATTGGGCGGAGTCTTTCTGTCTCGCCTTCGAATAGAATTTCTGTTCACTATGTCAACACACGCGCGCGAAGGAGCCCACGATGCAGCAGCACGCAATAAATTCGCGCGCTGAGCAGGCATCCCTTTTTGTTTGATCATAACGAAAAGGTTTCCCATGGCTTCTATTTACAACGGTAATTGTCCTGTCTTTTAATCGTATTGCGAACCGTGCTTTGAACCAGCTCGCTTTGCGTCGATACTCGTGGTTCCGTTGCTTCACTAAACACCAGGGTCTTGGTATCATGGCATGTTGACATATACTTTTTTTTTTTTATTTTTTTCAGAAAACATTGTAATGCATATTTGTTTACCAAAGGCCACAAGGTCGTGGTCCTGGCTGTTGCTTTGAACCAAAGTCCTCGGTAGCACTGTTTGCAATTTCGACATCAAAATGCTCCAGGTAAAGTTATGCGGTCAGCAGCACTACCCTTAGCCATGCAGCTGTGCAGCAGACCTGCAACATGCTCATTTTATCGACCATGCAGGTCGTATTGACTAGGTTCCTTCGCGTTAATACTACAACTAAGACGGTGGCCCTGCTCAGTCGTACATAAACTACACATGCCATTCGTTATAGCAAGGAACATCCTGCTCCTAAACTTTTTCGTGGACAAGGACAGTATTTATGCATAACACATCCCTTTTCTTTGTACATTCAGGTGCGCTGCATCGCTCCAACACCCACTTTATCCCATTCTCACGCGCTACGATGTCTTCTTACGTTTAACCGCCCGTCCTGATTGTGCTACACACCTCGCTTTGTTCTGCAGTTGTATAATGTGGTGCAGACACGAAAGCAAGCAAAGTCCTCCTCTTTTCTTAGGCAACACAGCGCGTAATTACTTCCAATGAGTTTAGAGCTGTATTTAGTCAAAAACACGCGACTAGAATACGCATCTGCATTAGGTTAGCACAGTGGAGTTCAAGTGGCTCCCTTCCCCTGGGCTTCTTTGGTTCCAAGTCTTTTGCTTTCTTGCATGCAACCATGGACCACAACGACGTCGGCTACAGCTCTGTCTCACGGGCCCTCTATCCACATTTTGGAGGACGAAGACAACGACCGCGCATCCTCCAGCGGCGAGTCGCAGGAACGCGGACACCTCGACAGTATCAGCACATCACGGACATCATGGAGGCTATTTCTCTGTTAGCTTTCGGGAGAGAAGGTTGATCGAAGGCATGACATACCGAGCGCCGCGTGGAAGCGGCCCACAAGAGCCTCAAAAATGCTGAGGAATTTTCCGAGATGGTGGAACCAAAGGCTGCTGACGGCCGGGGCGGCTTCATGGTTCGTGTTCAAGCAGTTTGGCGCCATCAATGGGCCCTTTGAGGCCGAAGGTCTGGAGTAGTATAGGTGGATTATTTTGATAGAACCATTGAGGCCATCGTCTTCTGCTCGCCTTTTTTTGGTGGCACTTTTCTCAAAGCATGTTTTCCTTCTTGGCAGAGTGCAGCTCCCCCTTCATTGAGGACTGAGTTTCGACCATCTTCTCGTCTTGCACTTTCAATATGAAAGGGAGATTTGGGTCCTCGGTTATCATTATGGATTGTGATTGAGCAATTGAGCATAGACAGCTGGTAGGTCGCGAGAGGCAAAGTGGGGGAAAGCAGGGTATGACAGAGGACTGGGTGGAGAACGAAGACATGATTTTGAGTCACCATCTGGTCAGCTCTTGGTCATTGCTGCGGGGAGCATGCAAAAAGAACACAGAGAGCACAGATCATTTTTTATTTTGATTTCTCATAAACAGTCAGCTCCTTCACCTTTCTGTCAGCGAATCCTGAAATCGTTATAAACGAAGGACCGGCCCCAATCAACCGCGGATGCTTTTTTCCTCACTCACCCATCACGCACTTAGACCCCGACAACAACCCAGCCAACTGCTGCCAATACTCCGCTTGTCCGTCTCGACTGCGACAGTAACAGGGCCAGGAACAATAACCAGGACAAGAACTGCAGTACTCGCTTTCGCTCAACGCCAGCACTCCACACTTCATACACATACCAACAACACCATCAAGCCGCTATCCACCGATATGTCTGGAACTGCTTCCGGTGCCTCGGCGTCACGTAAGCAGCCGCCATGGCGCGTCCCCGAGGGCAAGCCCGTGCCGAAGCTGAAGTTGTACAACTCGATGACTCGCACGAAGGTACGTCCGCGTTGGGATCCCTACTCTTATCTCAGTTGGATTCGGGCCAGCTACCTCTCCACTTTCTCAGGACGACCACTAACATAACACTGGTGTATTGTTTGAGAATAGACCGAGTTCATTCCCATGGACGGTAACCAGGTCACTTGGTATGCCTGTGGTCCCACCGTCTACGACTCCACTCACATCGGGCACGCCAGGTAAGCAAAAAAAAGGAGCAGATCACGCCAGAGTTGCAGGACAAGAGAGAATACACGGAGATTGTAAATACTGACGGTTATTATTATCTTTCCTCTTTTCCAGGAACTACGTTTCACTAGACATTCTGCACCGTGTCGTTGAGGACTACTTTGGATACAACGTCCTGTTTGTCGAGAACATCACGGACATTGACGACAAGGCAGGGACACACTGATAGCAAAAAGCAACCGTAGAAAACAACAGGGCCTTTTTCTTATTATTATCCGTCCATCTAACATAAGTCTGTGCGATTACAATATGAACACGATAATAGATTATCAAGCGTGCACGTCAGAACCATCTCTTCAACAACTTCAAGGCTGCAACCACGACTGTGACACCCGAAGCGATCGCCAAAGCTGAGGAAGCCTGGAAACTCTATGCAGAGTCGGAACTTTCAGCTATCGACGCGACTGCTGTTCACCAATGGGCTACCTTTTCGGAAAAGATCACCAAGGACGCAATTCTAAAGGCGACCATCACGACCGCCCATCCTAAATTCGCCATGCACTTTTCTGCGCTCCATGAGGCATACGATGCGATCGAGCGGGCCAAAAAGTCGCCCTCGACCACGGATGCAGCCGTTTTTTGCGATGCTAACAAGACAACGCTTGCGAATTTGCTCGACAAGGAGCTTTCACACACCGTGAGCGACCCCAAGGTGTTTAGGGACTTGGCCGCTTATTGGGAGGGAGAGTTCTTCAAGGACATGGATCGTTTGGGAGTCCGTCGCCCCGATGTGTTGACACGTGTAAGCGAATATGTGCCCGAGATTGTCGCATTTGTGGAGAAGATCATCAGCAACGGATACGCATATGAGGCTGAGGGATCCGTCTACTTTGACACTGCTGCATTCGATGGCAAGGATGGTCATCACTATGCCAAGTTGGCTCCGTGGTCCAAGGGCGATGCTGCATTGATGGAGGAATCTGAGGGCTCGCTCGGTATCAAGTTGTCTGGAAAGAAATCGAGTATGGATTTCGCGCTCTGGAAGGCGTCCAAGTCGGGCGAGCCCGCCTGGGATTCGCCATGGGGCCCTGGTCGCCCAGGATGGCATATTGAGTGCTCGGTCATGGCTTCGGAAGTATTGGGCAGTGGCATGGACATTCACTCTGGAGGAATCGACTTGGCTTTCCCTCATCACGACAACGAGCTGGCTCAGTCGGAAGCGTACCACCAGTGCGATCAGTGGGTCAACTATTTTACGCACTGCGGTCACTTGCACGTCGAGGGACAAAAGATGTCCAAGTCCCTGAAGAACTTTATCTCTGTCCAGGTGAGTCAACGAGCGTGGTGTAAAAAGCTTCTTCATGGAAATGCTGTGAATATTATAAATAATAGTCGCTGACGCTTTCAGATACATTGCATATTATGATTGTAATTTGATAGCAAGCATTGGAGAAGTACACGCCCCGTCAGCTTCGCCTCTTCTTCTTGCTCCATCAGTGGGACACCGGTGTTGATTTCAGAGACACCAGCATGAGCGAGGCTATTGGAGTCGAGACAACCTTCAACGTAAGGCTTATGTCTGTCGTTTCGATAAGCGAACGGAGCAATATGAATTATTTCATTGACAAAGACTAACGCGGTTTGATATCTGTGGACATAATAGAACTTTTTCGCCAACACGAAGGCCATGATCACTGAAGCGAAGCACACCGCTCTGGATTCGACTGGCTCGCATAACTTCCGTCGTCTCGAGCTTGAGATGATTGCGGCTTTGAAGGAGAAGCAGAATGCCATCCATGCTGCCCTGTGCGACTCCATCAATACCCCTAACGCCATGTCTGAGCTTCTGTCGCTGGTCTCGCGAACCAACGTCTACATCAAGGATGCTGGCAAGAACTTGAATGTCGATGTCATCAGCAAGGTCGCGCAGTATGTCAGCAAGATGCTGAGGACCTTTGGTCTGGATGGAGTTGTCTCGGAGCCCATTGGATTCGCCAGTGGAGAGGGCGGTGCTGCCGGTGTCTCGGTCGAGGATATTGCGATGCCCTACCTCCAGGTGCTCTCTACTTTCCGTGATACGGTCCGCAGCTATGCTCGTGAAGGACGTTCCGTGCAAGAGATGCTGGCTCTGTCGGACAAGTTGCGCGATGAGGATCTGGAGCGTTTGGGAGTTTCGCTGGATGATCGCGAAGACGGCAAGGCGTTGATCAAATTCATCCCTGCAGAGGAGCTGGCTGCGCAGCGTCAGGCAAAGGTTCAGCAGGCTGCTGAGAAGGCAGCCCGTAAGGAGGAAGCCGCCAAAGCCAAGGAGGCAGCTCGTTTGGCGAAGCTGGAGAAGGGCAGGGTTTCACATCTGGAGATGTTCAAGGAGGGCTCAAGTGCTGGGGAGTATGGATCATTTGAGGAAGGGACGGGCATTCCTTTGACGGACAAGGAAGGGCAGGAATTGCCGAAAAGCAGGAAAAAGAAGTTGACCAAGGAGTGGGAGACCCAGAAGAAGCTGCACGAGGATTTCTTGGCTGAGAAGGCCAAGGGCAACATTGCTTAGACTTTATGAAGGACGCCTTCTTTCGTTCTTTCGTATTTTGTTAGTTAGTAATTTTCACAACGACATCGCGACTTGTTATGATACAAGGAGTTTATTCAGACTTTTTTGCGGATACAAGTACTATGATCGAACAAAGAACAAAAGAAAGAAAACTAAGAAACTAACTATTGACCGCTACTATCCCCGCACACACACACGACCGCTTGATGAAACTATTGACTGCATACATGATACGTCCATTGAGCGGTGATGGAGAGGGAAAATATAATACAGGTTTGTGGGGGGATGAAGCTGATCAACGATGTGAGTAGTCAAAAGAAGAAGACTGTCGTATGAGAAAGATGTCCATGATGTAAAACAAGAGAGCAGCATTTCAATATCACCGCACGCGACGTTTGAACCCTCCGCTCGGGCATATTCCTTCCAACCAACATCAGGGCCATAGATAATGCCATTGCCACTGCTTTCCGCATCCACTGCTATTCCTAACAGACTTGAACAAAGAGATACCCTGGGTCTCCTTAACAGTCGGAGGCGACGGCAGCGGCAGCTACAGGTGTCGAGGCAGCGAGTGAAGCATTGTGACGAAGTCGTTCGAGGATATGGGCCATACCCTTTCGGGCCTTTACCGAGTTATCCATGAACTTGTTGATGCCAAAGGACTCGACTCTTCCTGTGAGACCCCATCGGAGCTCGCTGATAATTCTGGCCTCTGTCTTCACTTGGGTCCTGTTTGGGGGCAAGATAAAAAGCGTTTACCAGGAATGGGTCAGCCATCCAATGCAGGAGATAAGGAAAGGAAAAAGAGAGCGTGCAAAATAGAAGCGATCCAAGCACCACACGGCAAACACAGGTGAAGAACGACATAAGGAAGGAAGGAAGGAAGGAAGGACCATGTACCATTTTGGATTCTCGGGGTGGACGGTGAAGGTCTGGGTCTCCTCGACCTGCATCACCCGCACATGGTTGAGGTTCTTGGTACGGGTCACCATGGTCTGTGTCCTAGGGTCGACCTCGGACTCTTCAATAATATAGGCATCTGGACTCTTGATCAGCTATTGAACGAAACGAGGATATCACCAGGTTAAAGGCAGTGAAACATTCATGACGAATGCCGCATCCATGAAATATGGACGTAGATCCTGCACAGGGGAGGAGGGACATACATGTCGTCCCCAGCGAGGGAGGGCGCCCTGCTTGAGAATCACTCGGGTGGTGCGGAGGACACCGGTCTCTGGATCGACCTGTCGGTCGATGACATCGCAGCCGACAACGTGGGAGGCGAATGGGTTCGGGTAGCGGAGCCAAAAAGCGTAGGTGACATTGTCCCAGGCGTGCTCGAAGGACGATGTGTGCTGATAGAACTTAACCATGGCGGATGTCTATTCCTGGCGGTTAGTGGTTAGTGGTTTGTGATCGAGGGTGGCGGTCGTGGAGGTGGTTGAAGGCAGTGGGGGCGGTGGGGATGGCGACGAAGTGGAGTTGTAAGAAGCGGTTGATGGTGGCAAGCGGCGGAGATCCAGCGAAGTATTCCTCGAGGTGGTTGCTATTCGTTGTTTTCCAGTTCATTCCCCCCATTCGTGTGACTCCTTTCTTCCCTTCTGTCCTTCGGCATTTCCAATCCGGCAAGCAAATAGAAGGAACACTCATATCCCATTCCGCAGAATGCTCTCCTCTTTTCTTTTTTCTTCTCTTCGTCACACCTCTTCGAAAAGGACTTTTGACGGACAATAGCAGGAAAGCTGAACAAGCTGATCAACGAACAAGCCATGAGGACACCGATTGCAAGACTCATCCCTGCACGATCCGTAGCGGTCGGTGCAAAACATCCCACGCCATTATCATTATCTCACTCGGCCCAATGGCGATCTCTATCCACCACCGCTGCCTCTTCTTCACTTCAGAGTCAGAGCAGGACCCTGACTTTCCTTGGGACCTCTCTCAGGAAGAACGCACGCTCTCCAACTATCGCCACAGGATCTACCCCCTCACAATGCTCCTTCCTCCGTCCATACCATATCTCGATCCGCTCATTCGACCAACATCAACGTGGTATCCAGGACGCCGCATCAATTGGCACCACCCAAGACCCCACAGAGAAGCCCTCCCTCACAAGCGGCGATTCGCACATCCAACCGCAACAAACGACCCCCAACCCAATCCCCCCAAACCTCGACCCCAAAGCCCGGATGCTCATCGGCTTCACTTGCACCGTCTGCAACAACCGTTCCCACAAGACCATGTCCAAACATGCCTATAACCACGGCGTCGTTCTCATGCAATGCGACCACTGCAAGAACCGACATCTCATTGCCGATCATCTCGGTTGGTTCAAAAACGGAGGTGTTACGGTCGAGGATCTGGTGAAGGAGCGGGGTGAGACCGTTCAGAAATTGACCAGGAGTTACCAATTGGTCAAGGATGGTCAATTGGATCACAAGGACGATAGCAATGGCGCCGGCGTAGGAGTGGGAGTAGAAACAGAATCGGCAGGGGCATCCATATCGTCAACAGAGACAGCGGACACGAAGCCCAAGACCGAATTTGAACTCGCTTTAGAAAAGGCTTCAGAGGGAATGCTCGAATGGATACCAAAGGATATTCTACATCAGGAGGAAGAGCGCGTAAAAAAGAGTCGCGAAATGCTTGATCACTCCAAGAAGCAGGACTAAGTTTTTTTTTTTTTTTTTTTTTTTTTTTTTCGTTTCAATAAACAGTAAATTCATAACATAGACGATTCAATGGCTTTTTTTCGCGTCTTGTGTAGAACAGACAGACAAGAGGAAGTTATGATTCGAATGTTTCTTTATTCAAAAACAGGAACAGGATGGCAGCAAGCTCAAATGGAGGATGAAGAGAACAAGATCGATATATATATGTATAGTTTTGATATTACAGCTAGAACAGAAAACAAAGGCAACAGACGAAAACAACAATATAACAGAACAACACAAATGCAAAGCAAGTCTATGGGGTACAATGAACAATAAACAAAGGCAACAAACGGAAACAACGATATAACGAATAATGTCAAATACAAAACGACAACGGAATGAAACACACTCAAGAATACACCACACAAATGAATAATAATACAAGGTTGGATACTCCCCAACAACAACGGCCCCATCATCAGCTAATTTGCTCCGCAACCGTGGGATCATAGGGGTGGCGAACCAGGAGATCATACAGCTCGTCCGGCAAGAGTTTAACCATCCTGATTGTCTCCCGAATAATCTTGTCTGCATTCAAATCTGGAAATATTCGCAGCAGCTTCATAGGGCTGAAAGTAGAATGATCAACAAAGAACAAGAAAGTCCAAACATTAGCAGGCGTATTCTAGCACTCGGAGGAATGGATATTTTGAAAGACGATAAAAATAAAATAAAATAAAATAAAAATGGCTGAGCTGCATACCTAGCATGGCTCATAAGCTCATCGCGGATCAGGTATAACTGAGCGATGATGCAGATGATGTTTAAGTGAATACCCCAGGCCAGTAAAAAGTCCCATAGCTGCATCGCCTGCTCCAGAGGGGGGGTGCATGCACAAATCGTCAGCACGGCTATGATGTACCGTAAAAAAATAGATGCACATATTAATTGACTTGCACACGCCTGCTTCACATGGCGCAAACATCAGAGAAAAAAAAACACACTTACAGGGAAAGGCATACAGCTCCGCGGACAGCTTCTTCAACTTTAGATAATCGTACAGCTCGGGGTCAATCTTACACAAGCACTGCTCCAGCAGCTACAAAAAAAAATACACACGTCAAAAGGGGGTCAGTCGTTAATACGATTCAAGCCAGTATGACGAGCAGGCTGAGATTCTCCCCCTTTAAATCCGCTAGCACATTGTACGACCCAAAAATGCGCTCACCTTGATGCCACAATGAACGCCTTGCAGTGTTGGCTGGACATAGAGCGGACAGCAATACCTGAGCAGGTTCGAATACGAGTAAAATGCCTCTATCTCTGACATCGTGTACAGGAATGGTGCGGCTAGCACATTCATTCCTTGCACATATGTGAACGAGACATCCGTACCCTGGGCCGTGGTGGCTATGATTTTGTTTTCAAAAGAATAAAGTAAGGATCCTGGTTCGCGTACAGTAGACTACAGCACAGGCGCGTGTTTTAGCACAGAAATATTTCCCATGATTTCCTTACCCTGCGTACTCCAGGCAAACGCACAAAGGACCCGGATCAAACTGTCCTCCTCAACCAGACTCTTGTACTTGTCGTCTGTGGCCATCGTGCGAAAAGTATCGTTTCGGATCTTGCTGTACTCCTCGGGCTTGCCTTGCTTGACCAATGAGACATATTCTTGTGCCGAGACGTGATGGACCTCAAGCAGCAATTTCCAACATTTGCCGCGAATCGATGATGTCTTTGACTTCGATGTAGAAGGCTAAGAATAAAGGGAACACCACATCGTTTGCAGATTTAACATTAGCAAAGGAGCAGAGTATACAAAAAAGGATGTCGTGCTCGTGACGAAGTGTCTATTGTCATGAGTGATTGCCATAGACACCAAATGTGAACATGGAGTAGAATAGGAGTGACAGGAGCAGGCCGAGTGTTTTCCGACTTCATATTGTCAATATGCTTCTTTCCACGGCCCATGGACCATAGATCACCATCGAAAATGATAAACAACAAAAGAAAAAAATCTCACACGGTGTAACGGCTACCTCTTTTTTTCCCTGTACCACCGAAGTATTAACCGCACACAAAGGGGGATATAAAGGAAGGAAAGAAACCCGTACCGCTGAATTCTCTTTCAAGGGTAACGCAATCCCGTTTCGTTTATTGTCGCCCATGAAAATAGAAAAAGATACAGCACACACCAATGAAAAGGGCTCATTCTCTTTTAGCTCATTGCTCAACGCATTCCTCCACGAGGGGGAGGACAAAACAGGCTTTGTACCGTCCGAGATGTGACAAACAACAGGAAGACCAGATGCAACCAGATGTAAAATAAAACCGACCTCGATCTTGTGCAACACTGCGCCCGCGTGTGGTCTGTGATGCAAACGTCCAGTAACCCATAAAAAGATTACCAAGAAACCATTGGGCAAACGAAATTAGGCTTCACTCTGGAAATACAGATGTGGCGATGGAAATCTGATTACGCATGAGAGTTAAGGTGAAAGAACAAAAATAAGAGATAGGCGTGCTTGACAACCGTTAGGATGCAAGGAAAAAAAAAAAAAAAAAAAAAAAAAAAAAAAAAAAGGCTAGATAGTATGACACCAACAATGACAACACTCGTGCAAAGACAAAAAAAGACTCAAAAAAGAGGGGCATTCAAGAACAAAATACGGAAGGATAGCAGTTGTTTTGTAACAGCGGACGAGTACGAATCCAAACGACAAACATGCATAATTAATCCAGCGCTTTTGTCACTAAAACAACCGACCCTGTCAGAGTTCGAGCGAAGAAGTACCGAGGCCAGGAAATGAACTGGAAGAAAAGCTCATGAAGGGGGCATAATATTATTTTTGGGTAGAGTAGCGTACCTGCTCAGGAATACCATACGCCAGAATCAACTGTCGCAGCTCTTGTAATGACGCTGCTATCGCCTGCTCGGTCAGATGCTGGCGATTGAAGACCTGCTCGAAGAGTTCGACTGGATCCGGTCCATCCCCGATAGCAGAACCCTCGACTACTGCTTCCACTGCATCGATTGCATCCTCTGCAGCCTCGTCTGCAATCAACTCTGCGGTCTCTGCGTTGATCTCATCGGGTCCAGCACTACTGTGCTGAGAACTCAAGGAGTACTTACGTTGACGGAGTCGCAGCGTCGAGTCTTCAAGATCAGTAACCGTACCATCACTATCGTTCGAAGGATCATGGCGATTGGTGACTCCGTGATGACTGAAACTGCTGCTAATGTCGCCGGACGTACCCGCAGAGAGCGTGCAGGGATTGCTATTACTCGTATTGCTCTCTATCTCCGCCGTATCATTGTTCGATCTCTTACTGGCGGCACTTTCCTCCTGGCTACTGCCACTTTCCTTAGTCGGATGCTTCTTGCTGATGCTATGACGAACTTGTTGTTGCTGGTGTTGGGTGCTGCTGTTTCGTCGGACCCTGGCCTTGACTTTAGCATAGAGTGCGTCCGGGACAGTAAAGCCCTCACAAGGGCCCATTAGATCGAATTCCCTACCCTCTCTGTCTCCGGGGTCATTGCTGTGCTCGTCGTCCTGGGTTTGGCATTGTTTAGTAGCCAATTTCAATTGTACGACTGCCGCTGGTGGTGCTGTTTCTGATGCTGGACAAACCGAGTCGTCCGTGGTGGCTGTGCTGGGCGCGACTGAGACCAGCGACAGGGCTGTCTTTGGCGAGGCCGCGGTCACAGTTGTAGGGAGCTTCTTCTTGTCAATGCGACTGAGGCTGAGTTTGAGGGTCCTTCGTGTGTGAGTCTGGGCGACGCTCGAAGGAATTCTGGTGATCTTATGCAGCCGGCTCTTGAGCCAGTGCTCTGGTGTCGTCCCTGAATCAATGGTGGATTCTGCAGTGAAGTGGAAGGGTTGATATTGAAGTGCTGATTCGAATCCGCCTGTAGCAGTACGCATGGCCCTGTTGTAGGTAGGCGACGGAGTTGGGTTGAGACCGTCAAGAAGAATCACCTCTAGTTTGTCTGCAAACTCCATGAAAGGGTCGTGCTGAGGACGAAGGGGAGGAGACGGCGAACCAAACCAGGGTGACCAGAGTGACCAGGGTGAGGTTCAGCGAAGTGGAATAAGAGGTGTGAAGACAATGTGTGATGCCGAATCCCGAATGAGTGAAATGACTGAAAGTTAAGGAGGACGACGAGGAGAAAAGAGAAGGGTGAGAATTGAGTTGATCGTTTGGATGCTGTTTTTGTGTCTATTTCGATGTTGTTTTGTTTAGATATTGCTTGTTATTTACATGTTCTGCAATGCAAGTGCGTCTGACAATACGACAAGTAGACACCTGTGAGGATATGAGCAAAGTCTTATGTATATGTGTGCGTGTGTGGAATCAAGCAATAGCACGCAGATCGGATGACAGAGTGTATGAAAGAAAGTGGTCCTAGTGATGTGAGGAATATGCGGCGGTAGGAGTACAAAAGGAGGACCACGACACAGAATGAACGGGCTATGGAAAGAAGTAAGAGGGAAGAAAGGAAGAGAGGAGAGAAAAGGAGGATAGAATTAGAAGCGAGAATTAAAAAAGCAATTGAAGATGAAGAGAGAGTAGGAGGGAGTGCAGGAGCAGGTATGAGTACGAGTACAAGAAACAAGGGGACTTTGTGGGGACAGATGGTAAAAGAAGAGCAAGATTGGGATCAAGGGATTCAGTTGTGCAGACGAAGGGTGTGTGAGGGGGTGGGGGAGGAACAGGTGAAGCGACGGTTGTGGATTCTTACTAAAAGTCCTACGGCTCTGAATATAAAGATTGCCGTGGTATGTGGAAGGAGCAGACAGTGGCGTCGTGCTACTTGAAGACAAAAACGGCCGGTCGAGAATGAGAGAAAAAGACCAAGCGCGGACAGGGAAAGAGAAAGACGAGCTGGAAAGGGGGGCGGGACAAGCGCAGAGTTTCCTCCCCACTCCCCAATCCAATGCAGTGAATGGGTAAACAATACAGTGTACTGCAGTTTTTTTTCCTAGAGCAAGCAAGCACGTATATCTGCCTGAATACAGTGCGCAAAACGCATGCAGTTTACACTTACCCACGTACAGATAGTAGAGCGCTGCAACATGTACAACCTTGACAAGGAAACAGGCGAGCAAAAGTTCGTGTTGAATGCGCGAACAGCGAATGTGTGCAGAGAGGTAGGCATAATCCGATCGAGTGCACGACACAAAAGGAAACTTTACTTTTGCTTTGCAGGCGGAGTGAATGGGATCGCTGCTGTTGATATCGACGAAATTTCAGCGGTACGTCCAGGGGTATAAAAGCAACAACGAAGAAAAAAGAAGGGGGGTGATTGTCGGTAGGAGTACAAAGTACGAAAGAGACCTCTGGACAACGGGGGCAAGAGGCGGAATAATAGAAATAAGGGTGTTCAACAAAACGCAGGGATCCATCCACTTCTCTGCACAATGGGACATACTCCAGGATAGGAAGAAGAGAAAGAATAGCAAAGCGAGCGACATGTATAGATTCAAGTACAAAGCAACACAGCATGGCGTGGTGTTTGCTTCTATTGTTCAAATTGTATATATAATATACCATCAAGCGGATGTCCTTTGGCTACTCTCTCTTTCCTCTCAGTTGACAGAAGAAGAAGAAAAAAAATCAGGTCGCAGGTAAATGGTAGGACAATCGACCAGTCGTGCGGATGATCCACAATACAGTTGCGTTTGTTGTGTCCTTCTGACAGCTCTTCTGCAGCTTCCGAAAGAAAAATGTTATAGAAAGTGAATAGGAGAGGATCGAAAGGGAGGGTGTGGATGCTGTTTAGAGGGCCTGTCCATGTAGTGAATGGTTCCTCTTTTTGCAGCTGTTTGCCGAAGAAGCGTTTAGTTATTATCTTTTCTAGATAAATATTGCATATTCTCACAACGATCGTCCACTTCTGTTCTCCTTTCCTTGCGCTGCTATATTTCGCGCGCTATCGTGTTCTTTTATATCTTTCACTTACTCGCGCGCTCCTCATTTTGTCCCTTTTGCTCACCTATTCAAGTCTCACAGTATTCATACCACACTATTAGAGAGAGAATACGATCGCAGTGACCCGTTCCAAGCAGATGAGGCGCGTTTCTTCGGACATGAGTGCATAAATAGTAATAAGCGAAATCAACAAGCTCCTTATTCTCTTTTTTCCTTGAACAGGGTCCTTTCGCTCATCCGTATGTCTCTCTCTTTCTCTTTCTCTTTCTTTCTCTCTTTCTCTCTCCCTTTCCCTCTCTCTCTTTCTCTATCTATCTTCTACTGCCTTAAGGACCACGAGAGGTTATAAATAATCGATTGGGCCCTCAATCAGTTTTATCAGAATCGGTTTTAGGAGACAGGATGGCAAATGTAGGAATGAAAAAGGGTCCAGTTCGTGAACCAAGCAATCAGCACCCAAACCTGGAGCTCGTAATATTCTACTCCACATTCGGACTTGTGTTACAACCGAACGTTCCCACCCTCCGGAACATTTTTAATATCAATTTTACGGATATAGGAAATGTCCCCGGGGACCCGATCCTTCATTCCTGCCTTGAACATCTCGTTCGTTCTTTCTTTCTCCCCGTAATAACGTGGCGCAAAAAAAGTAACAACTAAAAGATGTAAAAGAACAAACCATCCCGCTGCCGAAGAAGAAGGGCAGTCAAAAAAGCATGCAGGTTTCAACCTTACATGTTCTCTTCTTCACCAAGAACCCTACTTCTTTGCTCGGTCTATCTTCGATATGCAAAACAGATAATCACACACCTTTTGTTGTTACTCCTATTGCTGTTTGTTGACGATGTGTTGTTGTTTATTTAGTATTTAGTCCAGTTGTCTGTGGTCGTTTCCCTTTTGAGTTTCCAAGGTGTACGAGTACAGCCCATACAATAGACGACGGTGTTTTTGCTGATTTAGCGTCCTCCTACATAAGCAAACACGCATGAGTTGGATCTCTCTGCCGAGTTTTGTGGTTTCTTGCAGCTTAAAAAAAAATCGGTGGGTCGATCGACAACCGACTGATCGACTGACCAAACATCTATCCACCCATCATACAGACGTGGGATGGCCAGCGCTTGATATGTCGCCATCTAGCTCATCGCAACACAAAGCTACAGAGGACAAAACACCACGCATAAAAAAGAATCATTCGCTCAGGGGTAAAAAAAAGACATACGTGCAACCCCGAGAGAGTGCATGGTCAACGATGCGTAATCTCTTCACAAAAGGGGGTAAGGTAAGCGGCCGAATAGTCTATCCCCTCAGTATTTTAGCATTATTGCTATACAATAAGAACTCAGTCTAGAGTGGGTGTCCATCAAGCTATAGCTAGTTTTTTTTTTTTTTTTTTTTTTGGCTCTGAGACGCGTCTCTGGTGAACCAATGATATTACGCGTTTCCGTTCCCTCGGTTCAGTATGTTTCAGTCCTGCGCGTCGTACTCCTTTTCTACGGATTGCACCAATTCCTGTTCACTCCAGAAGGTTCATAGGATACATACACATGTAGTCCACTGCAGTTCCATTTCACACTCTCCTCCATGCTCTTCTGACAATGTCCCTGTACTCACTTTTTTTTTCTTTTTTTTGGAGACGATCTGCGCTTCTGTATTGGATAACAGTACTCTATAGTACAGTCTATTGCAAATCTGACATGTAAGCTGCGGTTTATCGTTCTACAGATCCTAAAGTCGTCGCTCTTGGCCCTGGTGCAGGCTGTAGTGGAGGCGGCGATGAGGATGACGAGGGCAATGAGGATGACGAGGGCGATGAGGATGACGAGGGCGATGTTGGCGCTGCACTTGACCCTGTTGCTGTTGTCGGTGCTCTTACTCCTGCCAGCTCTTCGATATCCCGCTTACAGAGAGGACAATTGCGATTCAGTCGCAACCATTCGTCGACACAGTCCTTGTGAAAGTAATGGTTACAGTTCATTTTTCTCAGTTCCTCGTCGTTCTCATAGTCGCACAGACAGATGGCGCACACTGCATCCTGAGGATCCGTCAAGGTCAAGTATTCGCAAGTCGTATTCGATCCCGATGAGCTCTCTGGTAGTTTGGCCATACTCGAAGCCTTCTTGCTTTTCCTGAAGAACCCAAACAGACCTCCCTTGGATCTTCTAGAGGATGATGATGACGTAGAAGATGTGTCTGATAGAGACGTTTGCGCTGGATTTGACGATGCCGTTGTAGATGTGATCGGCGGCATCATGCCTCCAATCGGCTCAATCCTGTCTACAGAGTTTTCGCCAATTTCAACTATAGTGCTTCCGTTGCCATTTCCGCCCTCTGTCTCAGACATAACCGGTTTCCTATACTTGACGATTGGAATTACAGCAATCATCTCTTCAGTCGCTCCCTTGACGCCCGCAACAGGTCCCAGATCCAGTGCTCGCATGATACGGAGAACAAGGGGCAAACACAGGATCACCGCCAGACACAGGATGATAGGGATCAGGATAACAATGTATCCCAGGCTCACATGAACAACTGTCAGATAGTAAACTCCAGGGGCTTCACTGCGACACTCTCCCACCGTGAACAGGAAGTAGTTGGACAAGAAGAACAGACAGGTTCCTGCAATCTCCATCGTGGTTCGTTGTCGCTCCAGGATGATATCACGAGTTGTGAGTGGTGCGCCCTGGACGCGTGGATGCATGTGAGCATAGATCGCGAAGGGAAACGAAATGGCGGCACGAACGGCGTAGAGGATGATCAAGACCTTCAGAAATATGATATTCTTGCATGACGCGTTCCTGTCCAAGATCAGTACCACGATTGTTGCTATTATCTAGAGAAAGATTTATTGCAATAAAATGCAGATTAGCAATATGGATATCAATCTTGAACCTCCCCGGTTCCTAATGCGCTGTTGCTTTAAGAAATGTCGCACGAATGACTAAATCATGCAGTGATCGGTCGATTTTTGCGCATGCTATTTCAGCGTTCGCACCCTATGAACCCAGTCGTCATGGAGGAGTCATATATACAGTCCTAGCGCGTTCCGCACATACCAATCGCGGGGGGATATTACGTGCGCAATGTGTGCCCAATACCGCCTTTGTCAAAAGAACATGCCCCTGCATAGAAACAATAGGTCTTTTTTTTTTCTTCCGAAGCCTTCCTTCCAAAACACCCTCACCACAATAGCTCCACGAATATGTAGTCCCGTAGCCGGTTAGTAAGCTGTATTGCTCCGAAAATGACAATTTAACATACCTTGGCGAGCGTCATGATACCGCTGAGGACGAGAAATATACGAGCGTTCCGGGGAATGTTCCCCCAGCGGCCGACTATCCGACCCAGAGCATTTCTGCGGACTCTTCGGCCTGCAGGGCTGATACTCGTGTTGTCGATGGCCATGTCAATAACTGAGCGAGGACGTGTGGCTGTAGCTGAGGAAGTGTTGTGGGCAGCCACGTCTGTTTCAGCTGGTGAACCAAGCGTCGTTTCTGATGGCGGAGGTGGGAGCAGGGGCGGTGGTGGATATGTGGACATGGCTGCGGTGCTGCTGTCGGGAGAGAGGGGTAAGGACGTTGAGGACCAGTGCGGTGGAAAATGTGAATACGGTGCTGAATCTGAGTCTGGCTGGGTGTGAGAAGTGGGAGGCAGTGCTGGGAGGGCTGTTGGGTATTGTGACAATTGCAGTGGTAGGGAATAGAATGCAAAGTGTGGATTTGAGCGCAGGTCTGAATGTGGGTCTGAATGCGGATCTGAGTACGAATGAGAGTGCGAATGAGAGTGCAAATAAGAGCGCGAATGAGAGTATGAATCAATGTGCGATTGGGAGTAGGGATGAGGAGTATGGTGGTGACGAGCAGAAGGCTGGTTGGAGTCGATGAGAGAGGGGGAGGAATAGACGAGCGGATAGGGTATAGCGAGTGTGGGCGAGTAATGAGAAGATGAGGAAGACGAGGACGAGGGTGGGGAAGAAGTTGTAGCTGCGGTGTAAATGTGGGGGGAATGATAATTGGCGGGCGATACGAATGTATCGGGTGCTGTAGGTGGATCCACTGCGCCTTTATGCGTTCCTGTTGCGGTCCCTGTTGCAGTTGCAGTGCTGTCTATGCTATGCACGTTGCTGCTGCATCCTGTGCTGTTGGCTGCATACGTCTGTGCATCCATGACTCTATTGAGGGGAAGGCCAGACGGCACTATGGAGGGGGAGGGTGGGAGTGGAGGCGGAAAATAGGGTGCAGAAAAGAAAAGAGGGAACGAAAGGAAGGAAAAGGACGAAACGGACCAAATGAACACAAGAAAACAAAAGCGTGAAGTAGAAAGTAAAAGACAACTATGTGCATTGACTACATGTCGGCTCTAGATGCTCGGCCCAAGCCCAAAGAAAGACAGCAAAGGAGTAGGTCCGATGAACAAGACAATCGGGCTGCTCGATCTAATTTTAGGCCGCTGTCTGTTGAAGGGTGCTGTGGTGCTTTGGATGATGGGTCAGTGGGCAGATGGAGAAACGGCATGGGGAGCGATATGTATGGTATTTACAGAGAATCAGGCCTTTTCTGCTTTGGCTCCTTTGTGTTGGATGCCGGATGCGTTTGATGACCACTGCCACATTGCAATCGCTCTCTTGTTATTGATATCTTCCTCACGAGAAATACGCACGCATGCATGCGCCGCGTTTGCATCTAATTCGATGCCGCGTAATATCGAACGCGATTCGACTTTGATCCCCATTTTGTGCTCAGCAAATGAGCCCATGTTACGAGGAGGACGGCGTAGAATTAATATCTGCATAGATCCTTAATCATGATAAAAAACAAATGAATAAACCCTTTTTCTTTTGCTTTTATTGCATTGCTGGGCCAACTGGATATATGCGGATGAAAAGTGAAAGCGAAACTGGCATTCGACACATTCATAAAAATGGGCGAACAAAGAGATGGGATACAAAAATACAATGGAGGAAGGGAGTGGGAGTAAGAACCAATAAAAAAAAATAAAAAAGAGAGAAGCCAGTGGATGCCTGCTCGTCAGATAATAAGGATGCCGAGAATTAAAGGTAACGTCAGTCGCTCTCCGTCTATTTCTTGATAGCCTTATAGCACGATGCGTACATGTTGACACGATCGATTGAAACACCGCTACCGGGGACTCGGACACCAACAGCTTCGACTTCAAATCCGTATTTTTCAAATAAGGCGTTGTACCAGGGTTTGCGACCAGCACTCCTCCAGAGAACTATGCCTCCCTTGCGCACCGCCCTGGCCACCTCCTTGACCTCGTCCTCTGCATCCTTGGGATCGAACCAGTCCATGTGGTCCATTAACACTGCCTTGGTCAACTCTCCATCTGCAAGCGACTTTAGCACCTGAATGATCGACTTCGTGTGCAGCAACATCGCGTCCGTTGCCTTCTGCTCCTTGAGCGTTTGGAACCCTGTCTCTGTCAAGTACGATGGACAAGAATCACAAGTGTACTTGCGGTTGACCACCAGGTTGTAAAAGTATTGATCGTCTCTAAAAAGGGATCGGGTCATGATCGAGTCCAGAGTATCGTAGATGTACTGGACAGCGTCGCCCTCGTCCAGAATCAGCTTCATTTGGTTGATTGGCACTCCGAGCGCGTTCCACAAGAAAGCGGGGTGGGAGAGGACCCACTCAACCAGCCAAACTGGCAATATCGAGGGCTTAATTACGTTTTCCCAAAGCTGCTCCTGGACGCGAATATCATCCGTGGTCGAGACCTCCTCCACAGTCTTTGACAGACCCTTGATCCTCACCAGCCACTTGAACAGTCGCAGCGCCAATCCAGAGTACCCGGTCTCATAAAAGCAATCGTCGAACGTGCTCCTGTTCTTGTACCAAAACTGCAATGCTGCTGAGGAGAGCGAGGGAGAGAGCTGATCAACCAGGATACGACGGAAGTCCGCATGATGGCCCACACCAAACATTTGCCAAAACTCAGAGTGAGGGAGGTTCTGAATAGCAGCCAACTTGAGCTCGAGAAGGTGGTTCTGACAAGGGTTCATGTCAACGCAGTGGATTCGGCTAGGCTGCCCGTGCAGTGCATACTCGAGCGCGTTGTCTCCAGCGGAGGTGATCACAAACATGACATCGTCTTTCTGCAGATTCAGAACCTCGAGATCGATGCGGGGATCTTCCCATGTAAAAGCGTAGATGTAGGATCGGAATTGCGTGTGGCAGGGCAACGTAGGGTTGTATGGGAGCCGCCACGGGCTCAGCTTTGGTCCAAATCGGAGCTCGGTTTGCTTCTCAATCAGGGCCCTGGTGGAAATGGCCGAAGCGACCAAAGTGCTGGATGAGCCAACACTGCTGGGACTATCGGGGACGGAACCCTGGCTCGAACTGGAGTCTGTCGACATGGAGCGGGGACGAATATCGTTCGTCTGGAGCTGGTGAAGGATAGGCTCATCAATCTCCTCATCGGACGAAAGTGACAAGGGGGAAATGCTCTTGGAAAGGATGGAGCGGTTCTTCTTGGTCCCGGAAGATTTCTTCTGGCCAACCCAGATGTAATAGGGGATCTGAACAAGGAATGGCAGGATAAAGTGGTTGCGGCCATTGACGGCCTTTTTGACATTGAAACGGTACTCGAGATAGTCGCGGCGAGAGGCATGGAGGTGAACATGGTCGAAAGCAAACCAGATCTGCCAAAAGTTGCGCGTCCACCAGTTGCACTGATAGCCCTGGATGCCGTAGTTGCTAGCCTTGGTAGTGTTGGTCGAGGTGTAAAAGTCGGCGACACCAAGAATACCAGCCTTGCGCTCAAGTAATGAGTGAACATGGTCAATGACGGCATGGTAATTATCCATCATCGAGAGCGAGTACGACATTGTGATCATGTCAATCTTGCCCTTGGGGTTAGCTATGCCAGGGAAGTCGGATCCAAGAGCATCTTCGCACAGGACAATAACGTTAGTCCATCCGAACTTTTGAAAGCGCTCGCGGGCAATCCGGCACAACGAAGGGCAGAGATCCACAAGGTAGACGCGCTCAAACTTGCTAATGGGGAAATAGTTGTTCATCTGCTCAATATTCCATCCTGGTGATAAGAGATAACAAAGAAAGAACGGAGAGAAGGACATAGATATAAGTATAAGACGAAATGATATCTGAGGAGGATGGCGTGTAGAGATGGACGGATACATGGCGCTTACCGGTTCCACCACCTAAATCAATCCAGATGGGAGCCTTGTTGGATCTGGAATCCTTCAGCTGCTCCTTCAGCTGGGCAGCAATAAGCGCAAGCATGCTGCTGCGTCCACGGAGCAAACCGCCTCGAGTATCGTCGTAGACTATTCAAGCGTGAGGAGAAATCATGAGCAACCCATATTTGTATATACAGGTTTCTTTTAAACCAACATTCTGCTCCAAGGTTATGTGCGCAATGCAGAGACAGTATCAACGGAACGGTGAATGGTGTGTCGAGGGCATTCGGCGGCAAAAATCTCGTCTCCATATCATTCTCCTCTTCGCTATTAGACCAAACACGACCTTTCCGTGCCCCGGCCACCTTGTCCTCCTTGATCTATCAACTCCGTATCTATTGGGGCACAGCTCAACCAACCAAGCGTAAACCCTATCACGCATACTCCTATTCGCTTTTTCTCTTGTCCATGAAGATAATAAGTTTGGGGAACTTTCCCTCGACCTCCTCGACTTTTGAAGGCTATTGAACAATATTCAAAAGTCGCTACTCCTTGATGACGCATCTTCACATTCCTCTCTCTCTCTCTTCCTTCTCCCCCCCCTCCCTCCCTCTCTCCTCCTCCTCCTCTCTTCGCTCATTACAATCGCGACACTGGATCGAAGTAATGTTATTCTCTTTTGTTCCGCCCTTATTCAAAGCGTCGTCCTCTCATTGAAGAGCCCAGAAACAGGGAGATGTCCTTCTGGTGTAGTCCGCAGGAAAAGAAAGGAAATAAAGAAAAAATCAAATGTCAACCATTGCTGCTGCACTTACTCTCCGCCTGCTCCTTGTAAAATGCTTCCAAACGACCCTGCTGTGAGGAGCTGTCGCCGGCCTTGCCCAAGGGCTTAAGAAAGCATGAGTAGATGAACTTGAGGGGAGCCTTAATCTGGTCAAAGGACGCGATCAAGAGCAACACAAAGGCCGAGGCTGCGCTCAGGAACGCTAATTGGGATGTCATCATCATATCCTGAGCCTTCTTGAAGTTCTCGGTCGTGTTGAGGAGGTAAAGGGCGACGGAGGTCGAGGTGACCATCAGGGCGATCGTCAAGCCAGAGGCCGGCAATTTTGTAGGCTGATGCATCCTTTTGGAGAGTTACTTTGTTGAGGAACGTGAAATAGATTTTGCGCTATGAATAATCGAAAAGCATAAACAAAGGAATGTTAGTGGCACAACACGAGATATTAGGATTGGTCGCTCTCTATCAAGACGGGAGAAAGTGGCCTTGATGGAGACGTGGAAACACCTCGGATTGCCATTGACAAAGAGACTTACCAAAGGGCTCAAGGGCTGGCACACTGCAGAAGAATCGAGAATAAAGATTAGGCTTAAGAGAAAAATAAAGAATCGACGCGAACAGGGACGAACGAATGAAGGTGAGGGAGAGTAGTACTTGGAAATGCGAAGGAAGACGAAGAGTGAGGAAGAGAAACAGGGGAAATTGAAGATGATCTGGGTAGAAATACGAAACAAAGAACAGGACGAATACGTGAAAAATGGAGGACGCGGGAAAGAAGAATGCGTATAGACAACAGACGTACGAAAGGGAGGAGGGGTTCCGCCCAGTTTTCCACGCCCCTTTTATATCATGCTGCCCAAACCCAAATCTTAGAGCGCGTTTTTTTTTCTACCATTCTACTATTCACGCTGCTGTTGTCCTGATCTGTTGGGATTTTCCTTCTTGCGTGAACCAAGGGGAAGATCCAACACTCCTCCCACTTTATCCTATTCACTATCCGCCCTGTTCCTTTGCAGTCTCTCCTATACTCTTTTCACCCTCGCCTCCTTTTGCGGCGGCCTCCTGCCTCAGTCAGACTATGAATATACCAGCACGCTGGTAGCAGATAATGACTTACATCGAACCGGGACGGAATCGCGCATTTTCTCGTAGCATCTCCTAAAGAACTGTCCAAGGGGCGCCTCGGCTATCACGGTAGCGAATCGATGGGTCTGTTGGGGTGGCCCGATTGACACGCTATACACCCTCTGCCGCGAAATTGTCACTAGTTAACGAAAAAGCGTGATGGTTGCCCATATGACAAAGCAAAAGGTTTATGTTTCTCTCCGCGATTGAACGGATGTCAGAGTAACAAGCAGACCCGCTTGTGATCCAACCCAATCCCTATCTCCTGTCTCATCGCCCTTTTGACTGAAATAAGCGCCCCACGAGTAACAAAACAAGGAAAGTAGACGGTGTGTACACACTTTTGTTTTAAATGGCTGTCTGTCGCCTTTTCCTGATGTCCTGCCACAAATAAGAGCGATGAACATCCGCTGCCGTCGCGAGTATTGACTGGATGATGAACATTGGTCTAGCGTGTACAAGGACTATGGATGCTTGCCTCCTCCATTTGAACATAATATTGTACACGCTAAGCCGAAATGAGTTTCGTCAGAATCGAAGCGCGTGGTCGCTAAACAGATCAGAATTGGGCAAAACGTTCGAGATAAGGTGCAGAAAAAAAAGGTTGCTGACTTTATGTTGTCAGACCATAATCTTTGCAGTTTAACCTGTATCTGTATGCGTAAAGAGAGAGGAAGAGATCGAGAGGAAGAGACCGAGAGTGAGAATGTGAGCGAGGAACATGACAGAATAGAGGGAACGAGCGAGAAGGGAACGTGCAGAGGCGTGTGTACGCTGATTGCTGCAATTACTGAAAAGAAAAGAAGGTACACAACAGATACACAGATGGACCATAGGAAACATATCGGTTGAAGGCATCCACCAGCGGGATATTTGTAGAAGGAATGCGTGCAAAACCCGCTCTCATTGGCTCGAGCCATCGCGAGTAATTTGTCCCACGTTCCTGCGTAGGTGGACAAGGCGTGGGCCTTGGGGCTGGATAAAAGACGCGTTTAGTCATGTGCATATTTTTTTTTAGCGTCTGTGTTCAGTCCCACAAAGAGCAATCGTCCTCTTAACAGGCCAAGACTCGCAGATATTCTACTCTTCGCACTTTGCCCCAACTTGTTTCTATTTCTGCTGCATCCCGGGACAAGGCAAGGTCTATTAAAAAAAACGTGGTCCTTCTCCGCTCATTTTAATGGCTTAATTGAATTTTTAATTTTAAGGTCGCAGTTCTCGTCGAAACGCGCTAAATCCTCGCACGTTTTCCGGCTCTGGATATCTCTTGAACAGAGTTTTAGTAGGCGTTGCCTACATGGAGTAAACGGACAACAGGTAGCCAGAGTGGTTGTGCTGCAGTCGTAAGGCATCGGTCCGTCGCGAATATAGCCGTGATATAGTATACCTCCGAATTGAGAATATCCACTAAAAGTCCTCTGGTCGCGTCGTTCTTCTCATGCAAAGCAGGGCCGAAACAGTACAGTGCCCTACTATAAAATATTCAGTCCGGAGTGAAATCTCAGTCAGGGACGTAATCAGTACTTCACTGAACCCCCGTCTATTGCAATCACACCACTGACTCTTTATTCATGGAGTAGGTAAGTCGCCTTATGGACTCTGGCGAGAGATTATCCCATTCCTCCGGAAGAACAGCTTTCATCTCGTCTTTGGCGGTGGGCTACCTTGGACGTTTGTTCAGACGTTTCTTGATCATCGAACACACGTTTTCAATTGGACTCAGATCTGGAGAATTCGGAGGCCAAAGCATCGTCTTGATGTCATTGGCTTCCCGCCATCAGTTTGAGCGCTTAGTTGTGTGAACAGGAGCGATGTCTTCCATGAGAATGGAATCGTTAATTTCCTGCACGAGTCTTTTGAGCTCCTGCTCGCAGATCGTATCAATGAAGCCCTGGCCCTTGTTGTTGTCGCCATCAATGACCACAAGCTTGGATTTGTGGTTGCCGGCAATGGCAGCTCACACCACTATCTTAGATCTACCGCACGAGTCGAGGCTTGATGTTTTCAGGAAGATATTGGAGTTTTCGCAACCCAAAATTTTCATCATTTTCATCGGAGGACCGGGTTGAAACCTTAATTGTCCCCGCAAAATCCCTGATGAACTTTATGTCAATTTAAACATTTAAACGCAATACAAGGGATGTTTGTTGGACCTCATTGCAAGCTCCTCATTAGCCTCCTCAGCCTCATTCAGGAAACAAACAAAAGACGAGCACAACAACCACGAGAACCACGAAAGCCTTTTTGAAGAGAAAGACAACCTGGGTATACAAGGCGAGCGAGGACTATTGCTAGGGCTTCACGTCGATCTGCGTTGTCCCTATCCTTTGTTGTGATTATTGGCGGAAGCAAGAGGAGTTTCGACATTTCCTGGATCTGTCGCAAAGTAAACCTAAATAGCTTGCGACAATCCCTGTGGTTAACAGTTGTTCAAAATCTAGTCGACTGAGATGCTGCAGTCGCGGTGCATTAAGATAAGGTCTGATAGGGCCGTCGTTTTCCTCTATGTTAACGCCTTCATTGTAACTCCTCAAAGTGGAGGAAATAAAGGTCAACGACAGAGGTAGCCAGTCGCGCGATTTCGGCAGTCAACATTGTGAATGGGGAAAGGAAAGGAGCTCTGATGAAGCATGTTGTACACAGGAACCCTTTCAATGGAGATGAGTTTATTTTTGAGGGCGAAACTATTTTGCTGTTTTCCAGTAACATCAGGAAGGAAATAGAGTTTCGTTTGCGAAAACTCTCTATTGTCTTGGCTACTGACATTAAGCGTTTTATTGCTACAAATAGTCTCGCCTTTAAAAAAAAGAAAAAAAAAAAGTATTGTCTAAAAAAAAACTTCCATCCTTCTCTTTCAAGGAACAAGAAGGTTGAAGGATTGACAAAAAAAAAAAAAAAAAAAAAAAAAAAAGAAAAAGAAAAAGACTCTTCACCACTCCACTTCCGGGGAGCAAAGAGTAGCAATGAAGGGCCATTACCAAAAAAAAAAAAAAAAAAAAAAAAAAAATCCCACTTTACTGTGGTGGGCTAGCCATTCAACAGCTACGCATTAACGGCGCTGCTGTTGCTGGGACCTTTGCTGTTGCTGAAACTGTTGCTGGTGATGCATCTGCTGCTGTTGATAGTGGTGATGCGTCGCCTGCTGGTTTTGCTGCTGCTGCTGCTGTTGCTGCTGTTGCTGCTGCTGCTGGATACGTTTCTGTTGTTCCTCATGATCGTTTTCGTCGAGGGCAGAAGGCGCTACGTAGAGGCGCTTGTCAATGACTGGAGGAATGGCCTGAATCTCTGTTCCCAGCTCCTGCTCGATCTTGTACAGGTTGAAGCGATCTTCATATGTGATTAAGTTAATAGCTAGACCCAAGTGACCGAAACGACCACTGCGACCGATACGATGGAGATAGGTTTCGGCGTTCTTGGGGAAATCGAAGTTGATGACGACATTCACTGCCTGGATATCGATACCACGGGTCAAGAGATCCGAGCAGACTAAGTTGCGACAAACACCGTTCCTGAAATCGTGGAACACCCGGTTACGGTGCGACTGCAGCATCTTTGCGTGAGAATAGAAGCAAGAATATCCGAGTTCGGTGATCTTTTTGGCCAACAGCTCGACTCGGTTGGTAGAGTTACAAAAAATAATGGATTGATTGATTTGGAGCTATGTATCAATTCGCATACAGGGTTGAGATAAGTGAAGGATGTTAATGAAAAAAATGTACATGATAAATGGCCATTGTTTTTAAGAAAGAGCGTTTGAGTGAATAGCAAAACATATACCTTAGAAAACAGAGTGTTGAGGCAGTGAACTTTCTGACGCTCCTCGACAAATGCATAGTACTGGGTCACACCGCGCAGCGTGAGCTCGTCCATCAGGTTGATCTCGTAGGGCTTAACCATATGTTTATCCTGTTATTAAAGAATATAATCGCATTGTTAATAAAGGCGCGTAAGGCTACAAACAGATCATTGCAATGCAAGAAGAAAAACATTCTGGAGCAGTTTCACTACCTTGAACGTCTTAACAATCATAGGAAAGGTGGCACTGTACAGCATGATTTGGTGTTCCTTGGGAAAGTACGTGAGCAATTGCTCGACAATGGGCGTGAACTCGGGACTGAGCAGCTTATCGGCCTCATCCATGACAAAGGTTGTGCACTCGCTAAAGTTGGCGACTCCCTTGCCTGCAAGATCCAAGATACGACCAGGGGTTCCAACGACAATGTGAACGACTTCTCCAAGACGCATAATATCGTCCTTGAGGGTCGTGCCTCCTGTGGTGACCATGACCTGAACACCCATATGCTTGCCGAGGGTCTTGCAGACCTGGGCTGTCTGGAGGGCCAATTCACGGGTGGGAACCAAGAGCAAGGCCTGGATCTTGTTCTTCTTGAGGTTGATTTTTTCGAGCGAGGGAATAACAAAGGCGGCGGTCTTTCCTGTTCCATTCTTGGCTCTAGCGAGGATGTCTCGTCCGGCGAGGGCAATTGGTATAGACTCTTCTTGGATAGGCGATGGACGCTCAAATCCGGCCTCGAAGATGCCCATCAACAGTTCACGTTTCAAAAAGTAGTCCTCGAACTCGTTTCCCTTGGTTGCAGTGACGTCCTATGGCATTCATTGGAATGGAGGATACCGCAACATAAAGTGAATATGTGGATCACGAGACGATGCCAACGAGACCCATTAGCATACCACTCGTCCAGGAATTATCCTTACCTCTGTCTGGGGCCGGTCGTCTTTTGTTGGAAGGCTGAGCTGCTGCTTCCAACTGTCGTTCTCGTGCCTATAGAAAGCGGGAGGTAGCACATAAAAAAAAGACCATGAATCAGCGAACTGTCTTCTGAGCAGAACACGGGCCTTGGGTCTTCCTTGCACACAGCATCACCTACGCCATGTGATGTTGTTGGTTTGCGGCCATAATAGTGGGGTTGGTAAGAGATGAAGACAAAAAGGAGAGATTGGATCTGTGGGTTGCGATATGACTGTGATGAACAAGGGTCGAGTGATGTACAGTATAGATCAGTTAACAAGTGGGAAAAAAGGAAACGAGACGATGTCGATTCAAGTCGCGTGAGAACAGTTGGAGGTTGAAGTGAGAGTAGGATTGGATGAATAGTTTTGTTGGTTTTTGTGTTTTTGGCAGGATCGAGTGGATAAAGGTGTTGATGGTGGTCGAGTGTAATCAAGGGCTGATCCGATCCTGTTCAAGAGAGGCGTGCTGGTTTGGTTTCTTCCCCCTTCTGCTTCTTCGTCTTCTTTGTGAGGGTGATGCAGAAGTAGTAGTGGTAGTAGCAAGAGTAGCAGTCGTGTTTGAAAGGGAGAGAGCAGATCAGATCAAATCAAATCAAATCGGAAAAGAGAAAAGAGAGAGAGAGAGAGAAAGAGAGTGATGGATAAATGTGGACAAAAGAAAAGAAGAGAAAGTAATGGAGGAGGAAGGAGGGAGAGGGAGAAGGAGAAGAAGGGGATTTTTTTTCTCTCCTCGTTCCTCTCTCTCGCAGTCAATTGCTCCTCGTCACTTCGAGTCTGCATACCCTTAAGTAAGAAGACAGACCATCCCCGCGTCTGAGTTCCAGGGGAGAGGGAGGAGCGAGGTGAAAAGAGTGTGGGGTAAAGAATGTTTTTTACTTCTCCATGAGTAATGCTAGTTGTATCCATGCACATATACAACAACTGAACAGTCAACTCGAGCGGAACATGACCCTCTGCAATCCAGCATGTGAACACATGGTCCATGCTTTCCGAGGCATAGCTTCTCGAGAGCACCGCACTGCATATGTATTATATGGCTCAAGTATCAAGCCAATGAGATATCGCCACCAAAAAAAAAAAAAAAAAAAGGACCAACCTCGCCATGATCGTCATTCCTCCTTATTCTCCATCCACTCATGCAAACATCTTCTGAATGCGGTTCAAGATCTTCTCCCTTTCCCAAGTAGCCTTTTTGGCCTATTCTACCTTCCTCTCCACCTCGGTCTTCGCTCCTGCTGCAGCTTCCGGCCTGTTGGTTGGATTCGTATACAATGATCTCTTAGCTCACCCACAATATCACGTCCAGTACCTGGATGAATTCGTACCCATATCGGCCATCGGTGTGGAAAGGCTCAAGAAAGGCAACACACATCGACATCAGGTACAAATCGACATCCGCGCATAGTAGCGCCCATGCATCGCTACTCGTTTGTTACCAAGCCTAAGACAGTTTTTTCAAACTTCTCACCTTCAACACATAGCCCGCGTTACAGGCGACTCCGCAGATTGAAATGATGAATAAGGATACACGGGAAAATCAACGACATATGCAGCTGAGCGGTAATATCGACTCCCAGGACCAAGATGGGTATTCTACTACACCGAAGGGAAGCAAAGCGTTAGATATGTCATCAAGTATTGTCATGACCGATGCCAATGGCAAACGATGGGCGTGCAGCATCCCAGCAGTCCAGATCCAGGAGGAAGACCCTGTTGCCGAAAAGACAGCTCAGGAGACTGAGGAGGAAGAACGGCGAAGCGTCAAACGAGGACTGGAATTGCTGGAACACTTGACTGGACGTTGTCTAAAAACGGTACGGTACGGGTATTTACTGCATGGTTAATGATACCAGCATGCATGTGGTATCAACTAACGTAATTGCGGCGCTTTGCGGCGCAATAATGCGATAATAGAACACCGGCTACTGGACTTACGAGTACTGTCACAAGAAACGAATTCGACAGTTCCATGCACTCGATAATATCAAATGGGAGCCAGCGAGCGAGGACACTACTAATGTTTTGGGGGTTTATGAACCCACTTCGGCCGAGTTACAAAGTAGTCAGAATCTCGATGGATCGATCCAACAGCGTCCCTCTTCCTCAGGCCCAGGACGAAGTGCAACTACGACGGAGCTAGGCGTGAGCAACGAACGTAAATATCTAGTTCAGCACTGGGATTATGGCGATGTCTGTGATCTCACGGGAGCTTTACGAAAGGTGGAGGTCCAGGTAATCCTCATTATTTATTGCGATGATGCGTCAATGAAAGCTGTTGACGTGTATCAGGAGATACTAAAACACCTTTGTCTGGCGATTTGATAGTTTCAGTGCGCCAATGTGGATGACAGTATTCAGCTCGTCACGGAGCCCTCGACTTGCAGTTACATTATGGTCATCTACTCCTCCTCTCTGTGCAAGGACGTCGCCTTCGAGCTCATTCCAGCACCGGAAGCTAACAAGATTGAATGCAGACGCATCGTGTCCGACGAAGAATACCAACAGCACAGAGCTGCAGGCCCTGGAGCCATTGAAGGCGGGCTGGGATCGATTACCTCCCAGGATTCGACCGGTCAGATCAAATTCGGTCAACAAGCACCACAGGAGGAGAGTAAGCCATCACTCGACAATCTTTTCGCCGCTGGATCAGGAATGCCAGCGGATCTCAGAGATGTAGCAGCGCTGATCGAGGAGCTAGAAAAGACGACAAAGCAGAAGCAACTGGACGAGATTCTTGCGGAGTTTGATACGTTCTACAGAAAGTTGAAGCCGCACATGTCTGAAGGTCAGAAGGATGTGCTTCAAAAAATAGAGGACTTTGTGGACGGCAAGGTTAACCAACAGGAGCTGCTTGCATACGATCAGAATGGACAACCCATAGAGTTGGATGCGTTTTTAGAGACTTTCTTTGGTACAACTGACAGTTCTGGCGAATCAAATGGGAAGAAAGCTGCTGAGGGAGAGTCGGGGACCAAGGCTCAGGACAGCAAAGCTCATGATAAGGAGCAACGGAACCAGAACATTTTCAATGCGATCTTGGATGCATTGACTGAGAACGAAAACAAGGCTGCGCAGGATGTTACAAAAAAGGAAAGAAGGGGCAAGGACGCCCAGACAAAGGCGGAGAGCAATGACGTCCTAGCCAACGTTGATCTAAAGTCCCTTCTGGACATGCTTGAAGCCGCCAAGAAGGCCGGAGCAAATTCTGGCGGTGCTGATGGAAAGGCGACAACTTATCAAAGCCGCGAGAAGGAGAAGAGGGAAAAGGACGACGATGAAAAGTGAGTGCCCTGGGTATTCAGAGCATTCCTCCTTTGACTAAGATGCTTGAAATAAATTAGCAACAGTACCGATATTTACGAGTCCCTTAGTCATTTCATGGTTGTATCCCGCGTGGTAGCCTACTGATTGATTTTCTTATATGATGTACAGTACATGTAATTCTTGAATACATGAACAGACGGCGTACTTTGCTGGGTTCTAGACCTGCAAACAGACGGGCTGAATCGTACCTGGCATGGGCTTAGCACGGACTGGTCTCCAGACGATGCATCTGATGAAATACTAGAAACAGTATAATAGTGATAGCAGCCTAATCTTTGCCTACGAAGCGTTCATGAAATCAGTGCAGTAGTGTGGTACGAGACAGTGGATGCACTGCTAACTCTATTCCGAGGGTCTAGATCGCATGCTTCCATTTACGCGCCGCGTGCTATCCATGGTGTAACCGAGCGCCAACATATGCCCATTCCGCAAGGGTACAGGGAAGATTCACAAGAAGAGAATATAAATAGCCTCCAGCAACTTAAGTTTCCTTTCTTTTCCTTTTATCTATTCAGCACGCCCAACCTCCCCACCATCCACAGTTTTCTCCACCCTCGTCCAAACAACACTCCAATCATGCTATTCAACCTCTTCTCGATCGCTGCCGTTGCGATGTTGGCATCTTCGGTTCCCTCGGTCATGGCCAAACCCACTGGATGCAAATCCGCCCATATTGAGAACCTCGTCGTCTTTGGCGACTCGTACTCGGACACTGGCAATGTGTACCAGTTGTCCAACAAGACTTGGCCTTTGCCCTTTTACGACCATGGACGCTTCTCCAATGGACGCGTGTGGTCCGAGCACGTCAGTACCACCTTCAATGGATTATTATGTGTACATGACTAAATCTGTAGAACCCAACTGCGAGCTTGATAGCTTGAAATTAATAATCTTGTCGTATCTTTGTATCACTGTTACAGGTTGCCAAGGCCAAGCACTACAAGCTAAGCAACTACGCCTATGGTGCCGCCACTAGCGATTCGACGCTCGTTCAGGGATACTCCGGTCCATCCGCTACAATCCCCGTCCCCGGATTCATCCAGCAGATCGAATTATACGCTCCCAAATCCACTCGCGAGGATGCTGCAAGGACCCTGTTTGTTGTCAACTTTCAAGGAAACGACTTTTTCTTCAACCCCTCGCTTGACCCCGCAGCTGTGCTTGCCAAGCTGCACGAGGGAATCAAGCGTCTCGTCGCACTAGGCGCCCGAAACGTTCTCGTGGTTGAGAACATCGACCTGGGTGCCCTTCCTTATTTCAATACCAATGCAACCAACGCTGCAGCGTTCACAGCCATTGCCAGGCAGGAACAGGAAGATTACAAAGGCCTTAAGAAGCAGCTCACGCAGGAATATGGTCGCTCTCTTGACTCTCATCCCTTTTACACCTGCAGCAACAACAGCGTGAAGGTCAATGTCGGGTACTTGAATTTAGGCGAGCTCTACAAGCGCCTTTACAAATCTGATCAGTTGAAGCGACTGGGCATCACGGATGTGGTCCAGGGGTGTGTGAGCAACGACTACAAGACTGAGTGCAAGAATGCCGGCAAATACTTCTACTGGGATGCGTTCCACCCCACAGCCAAGATCCACAAAGAGATTGCCGAGGCAGTCCTTCATCTACTGTAGAGAGAAACCCTGGACTGTGCACGCATAGACTACGCAGGAAACCACTCCGACCTGAGCAAAGTATAATTCTTGATATGAGATGTTCAAACAGAACGCCAGCGTATTTCTTCTATGTACTGCCTCAAATTTCGCAGACGTCTCCATTCGCATCCCGAACAGAGTCTACACTGCCACTTTTACTGATTTTCAATCGGCTGTTTCGTGTTGCCCCATTGATTTCTGACCCCAAAAGTTGGCCTTTTTACCTCCGTTGCGGCCGCAGCCTTCCTCACCATTGAACACAAAAGTCAATACCATAGTTGTTTGATAGCTATACCCCTGGCATAATTTCATGCGCTGAGATGAGTCAACATCATAAATAATCCTTGAAGACTGAGCAATTGAAGGCATCATTGTCATATCGATGAAAAGAGAGATGTACTCTTTGTGCATTAATTTCTTGGTCCACGCAGCAAATCGAACCCCTTCCAAGTGAATAGTGAGCGAAAGGGAGCGAGAAGAGCCATGGCTGAATGAAAGATCAATATAGGAAAATCAACCAACGTGCGCGGGGGGTATTATGTTTTATAAAACAACACAGGTACTATGCATGAGTACAAATGCCTTAATAAACCATCGAAGGATGTTGAAAAACATCGCCAGGGCCCGTCTGTCACGGATCGGCTGAGTGCTACGAACGAATTAAGCTGACCGGGGCCGCGTGGGGAGGTCGTGTTGCCTCTAATCGCCATTCTTGGATTCGAGATTCCATCTCTTGCTATTTTTATCGAAAAGCGGTATTATATAGTGGAATATAGTCGGTGACTATGACCAATCCCATCCATGGCTGCAGGAGTAAGGAGATGAGAGCGAGGGTGGCTGCTTTTCGCTTTGGCTGTTGGTCTAGCACCTCCGCGTCCTTTTGCGAACAGGGCTCCGATTCTTAGGCCCTTGTCTGCTCCGCGGCCAATTTTTTTACGCTTGGAATGCCCTGTCGCCCAGATGGAAACAAAAGAAACCTAAGAGGACGGATCGCCTTTTTTTTCGTAGCCCAACACTCACGTCGGAGTGGGATAAAGTGGTTGGCGCCTTTTCATTTTATTTTTGGCCCTATTTTCCCATATTTCATTTCCCCTCTCTCTCCCTCCCTCTCTCTTTCTTTCTCTTTCTCTTCCTCTTCCTCCCTCCCTCCCTCCCCTCTCTGGCCCCGCAGCAGAGATCAATTCATTTTCAGGCACACGCTGTGGCCACTCCTTCGCTCACATCTTCATTTCAGCATGATCGGCCGTCTCTCTTCTCCCTCCTCCTCGTGCCTGTCCCTCCTCATCGCCGTTGCCCTCGTCCATATCCCGGTCTTGGTGCTTGCTCAGGACGTATGTCTTATTTTATTTTTTTAAAAAAAGTTTTCTGCCACCAATAACAAAATGAGATTGCTGTCGATCTAGCCCACTTATATTTATCATCTTATCATCTTGGCTCTCTTTAGGCGGGGCCCTCGGTCTCACCCCACGATCCAAGTCCCATCTCGGACCCACCCAGCTCCTCAACCACCAGTCCTCTAACCACCACAATCGACCCCACCGCCACCACCACTACTACTACCACTACTACCACCACTACTACCACGATAATCTCTGCTACTACTACAATATCTCCTACCACCACTACAATCCCAATAACGATCCCAACCACAACCACGACAGACATCCCCACCATCAGCACGACCCCTCTTACAACCGATACTTCCTCCTCAAGACCGCCCTTTACGCAGCCCGCAAACCCCTTCCCCTCCACCCTTACCCTCACCTCCTCTATACCCTCCCAGTCCACTCTGCCCCCTTCTGGCGCCGGTTCCAATGGCTCCTCGTCCTCGTCTACCTCCACCAACGTCCCCGTAATCGTGGGGTCCGTTGTCGGTGTTGCTGCTCTCGCGATCATCATTGCCACGTCCGTCATCTGCTATCGCCGCCGCCGTCGTAACAATCGCGAGCTGACATTCGATACCCTGCAGGGTATGGGTGCTTCCTCATCGGGCGCTGATAAGAGAATGAGCCATGGCTATCTTACAAGCGGTAGCCCTACCATGAGCGGAGGGGCTGGACTAAACAGTATGACCTCGGGGGGATACGAAGATGGATATGATTACGAGATGCAGTCTAATGCTGGCTATCCTGTTCAGCAACCCTTCAACGGCGGGTATGACAATTATGGCGATTCCTCGCCCCACCAGGGCTATCATCCAAGTCCTGCCGTCTTCCAGGAGGACCATCATCTCCCAATGACAGCTCATTTTGCAACTGCAAGCTCTATGGGTCGAGATAGGACTGGGTTCGACCAAAACCTGCCCGAGGTCATGTACAATGGCGCCGGACCAAATAATCCAGCTACTACAGGATACTCTAACGGGCACGACATGATTATCGACGGTGCTTGGAACAATGACGCACAACACGGCGGGCTCTGGGTCGCCAATCCTGAGGCCCAGTACGCAGAGCACGAGATGACCCAGCATTCCGACGTTGGATACCATGATTATGCTTCCGGGGCAATCGTACAATCAAGTCCACATTTCGCAGACGCAGTTCTGCAATCAGCCCAGTCGTTGGACTCAACTCTTATTGGATCCCCCTCCCAGTCAAAGGCCGGCCACAGTACCAATCCTCAGTGCTTGCCTGACTCGCCTCTTTTGCAATCAGGCGCATTGAGAAGCGGAGACATTTTTTTCGGCCAGGAGGGTGGATCAGGATATATCTCTCCCAGAATCACATCCCCTAGGGCTGCTGCTAGGGAGCTTGGTTCCTCTGCTAGCCCGAGGTTGATGAACAACCGCGAGCCCCGGAGCATTGAGCTGTCCAGACAATCGCCCAGCCCGAGGCCTTCGGGTGAACACATCCAGAGCTATGCGGCGGAGTATGCCAACCGCGCCTCGGCTGAGCATGGCAGAGGATCGCCCTTGAATAACCACAGTAAGAGCCTTCGCGCGCCTCGTCGCGAAGACTGGTCATAATCAAGGATTATCATATCTCACACCGTCTCATATACACACTTAATGTAAAATAAAGAACGTTTGTGACAGCACATTTTCATATTGGTGGCAGCCAAACAGAAAACACTCGGAGGAGGAAGAGGGACTGAGCAACAAGTCAAGAGGCGATTCGAATCCAATCGATTCGTCTAGTACGCTCTTCCATCCTCCGCAGCCTTAATCACTTTCACCATGAACTTCCTTCGCAGCGCAACATCGGTATGACCACAGCAGAGCGACTTCTCCTGGCAGCTACCACTTTTTGGTTGCTCCTTACGATCTGGATGAATCTTTCAACGGATGACTAACACTGCATTCGTTTTCGATAACGGACTGGCCCAACGTAACATAGACTCTCCGCCCCAGTAGCCACATTCTCACCCGCCGTGCAGCTCTCCCTGCCACGACCTTTGCTGTGCGCCACCTTTCCGACTCTACCAAGAAGACCATCGAGGATGTATGTAGTCAGCTAAACTGCAGGGTATCGATACTGTGCATGTTTATTTCAGTACCACAACCACTGACATCTATTTCCATTTGATCTGAATACTATATCCACGTCAGGCCATTGCCCAAAACAAGCTGGTTGTCTTCATGAAGGGAACCCCTGATGCCCCTCAGGTAAGGATGGTCAAGTTATGTAGATTGCCGGTCTTTGTTCTGAAACACATCGTACCTGATCCGGACTGACCTGGGATTTATCGCTGCTGTGGGATAATAGTGCGGATTCAGTCGTGCTGTCATGCAGATCCTCACTGTCCAAGGTAAAGACAGTGCTATGCCTGCATTTGAATCCTGTAATGTATGAAATTGTTTAGTAACGTCGAGTGGTTTCTGTCCTTGCTGAAAAATAGGAGTTGACATGCAAAACTCGTTGAAGAGCTTCAACATTCTAGCCGACGAGGAGCTTCGCAGCGGTATCAAGGAGTTTTCGTAAGTTGGCACGGTCCGGAGCCGTTTAAATGCGCTCATATTACAAGCGCTTTGCTTGACACCTAAAACGACCTGATTTATACATAAACTCTTGTAGATCGTGGCCCACTATTCCCCAGGTATACATCAATGGCGAGTTCGTCGGAGGATGCGACATCATGCTCAACATGCACCAGTCTGGCGAGCTCGAGAAGCTATTGCTCAAGGAGGGCTTGGTCGAGCCCGAGCCCGAGGAGAACCCCCGCGCATAGATACACTTGCATGCAGATCACTGGCGAGAGAGCACGAATAAACAATCAGATTTTCAGTATTGCTATCTTGCACCCTCGTCTTATCTTTGCAACCATGGACCTCGGACTGGAACGTGTCACTCATCTGCTCGAGGCACTTGCCCCTGCTGTCAACAGCTCATCCCCATCAGTAACCTTGCATCCGCTTCCACCACACCTCGCCTTTCCCATCATTCATGTCGCTGGCACCAACGGCAAGGGATCGATCTGCGCGTACCTGTCGTCGATCCTCCAGGCGTCTGGTTACCGCGTCGGTCGATACAACTCACCTCATCTCATCACACCCAGGGACACGATTCAGATTAACAACCAGCCGATCTCAGAGGCCGATTTTCAATATGTCAGCAATATCGTTAAGCAGAAGGATTCACAGCTGGGCTTAAAGGCGACCTCATTCGAGTTGTTGACCGCAATGGCGTTTTATTGGTTCGCCCATGGTCATGATGGCGATGGTCCTCAGTCGGGACAGGATCCTAGTGAGAACCAGGGGGCCGTGGATATTGCAGTGATCGAGGTCGGCGTGGGTGGTCGATTGGACGCGACAAACATTGTTCCTAGCCCGAAGGTCTGTGTGATAGCGTCCATTGGAATGGATCACGGCGCTCTACTAGGCAACACAATCGAGGAGGTCGCGTCAGAGAAGGCGGGTATTATCAAGACAGGAACTCCTGTCGTCATTGCACCGCAAGCTGAGGGACAGAGGGTGTACAAGGTGCTGGAGGAGAAGGCGTTGGCTGTGGGACTGTCACCGGATCAGATCATCAAGGTGCAGGCAGCTCGTTGGACCGAAGCACAGGACGATCCAGCTTCGTCGGGAACAACCATGGCAGCAGCAGCAGCAGTGGGACATTGCGCAGTTCTGGAGGACGGATTCAAGTTCTGGATTCCACTGCTGGGTGATTTTCAATTGGAGAATGCAGCGGCTGCCATTGCCGCGATCCGCGTCTTGCGAGAAGTGGGGAATGATGGCCATGGATATGAGTCATGGAACAAGAAGATTACAGACGATACGATTCGACAAGGCATCAGGAACACTGTTTGGCCAGGGCGGTTACAATGGATCGAAGGCCCAAATGCTCCAAGAGAGGTCCAGGGAAGAATACTAGTGGATGGAGCTCATAACCCCGCGGCAGCCATTGCACTGCGCTCCTTCGTGGATGAACACATTACATCGCTGAGTTCAGGTCATGACTCGAGACGGATACATTGGATCATGGCGTTTACAAAGGGCAAGGATATTGAGGAGATGTTTGATGTTTTATTCTCTGTAGGATCCAGTCATGTCCAATCTGGACAGGATACATTCTCAGCTGTGGAGTTTAGTTCGCCCGAGGGTATGCCCTGGGTATCACCTATTCCTGCACAGGAAGTTTGTCAGCGATTACAGCGGCAACAGGAACGTGTGCATGGCGAAGGGAAGGGCTGCCTCGTTGTCCGTGAGTTTGGAGCGGATCTGAGGGCGGCTTTGGAGAGGGTTGGGAGGGATCGACAGGCTGGCGACGTGGTTGTACTCTGTGGGTCACTGTACTTGGTTGCAGATCTCTTTCGCTTATAGCCAAATAAAGGAATCAGAGACGTAACACAAAGATGAGCGCGACAATCTTAGTGGGCGAAGTGCGTGACCTGCAGTAGTGGTGCTCGATGGCATCCACTTCTCTCGTCTTCAACTCTTGCTTCTCCTGCTCGCTGTCCTTGCAGTCTACGCCATCCAACTTACCTGTTGCCCCATTGCAAAAAAAGAGGTAAGAAAAGGCAAGTGCCAGGTCCTCTCGTCGCTTAAACGCTTCTCTGAATCTGGCAGTTGGATTGGTTTTGGTGGCGGCGGTTTCAGTTTTTCATCGCAGTTTTGGGCTAGTGGCACTCGTCAAGTTGGGGGATGTGCGTCTGTCTTCCCTTTTTTTTCCCCCCTCAAGGAGGGGGTATGGGGCAAAGTACCAGCTAGTAATAAAGTCACCAATATCGATTATGATGCGATCACAGCTGCAATGGCGATGTTGAGATCTATTCGATACATGTACCGATATGCTTTCTTGATACGATTGTGTTATCGCGCTGATCTCTTCTCACCGGTGTATGCTGCTGCTGCTCAGCCCTGGTTTGGTCATCATCGACCCTCTGCTTGCTGGTGAGCCAACAAAACATTCATTCATTGTCCCCAGTGTTTTCTTTATTACTCTTTGCCCCACAGTTCCCTGGCCCATTCATTTGCTGCCCAAACCTGTGGTATGCATGGCAATATTGTTCTCATGCACGGGAACTCGAGGTCTCTTTTTTTTTTTTGGGTTGCATCTCTCTTCGTTCATCCTCGTCGCTTTCTCTTTCGCTTTTGCTCCTCTCTTTAATCCCTTCACACTCAACTCTGTACACTTTAACCCAAACAAACATACTATTACAGCTGCCTTCAGACTAGCAGAAACCATCATTCATCATGACAACATATAAGCAGCGCGCACCTTTCCATCGCCAGAGTAGCAGACACTCGCCCGACGAAGACCTAACTGAAGCCCGCATTGTCTCTTCAACAAAGGGAACCCAGTCCAATTTCTCTGGCGCCCACGCCCATTCTCATGCTCCTGGTCTGTCGTCAACAAACCCCTCAGACGAGATTTTTGAAAACGGTCTGGATCAGGAATGGACATCTATTCGTCACACAGCCAGTGCTCGCGTGAGGGCACGGCAACAGCAATACCTCCACCAAGCACAGCAACGTGCACAAGAATGGCATTTTGTTCTTGGCCAGTATCAACGACCCCCACTGAGCACAGCAAGCAGTACCGGCACCGTAGCTCAGGGAGGGATCTCCTCAGATGAATACGAGGACGTTCTTAGCGGGAATGAAGCAGCTTCAGTCATGGACAGTACATGTGGTCGAGGTCTCAGGGATACAACACTACAACTACGTCCACAAAGCTATCGAGAGCGAACCAGCAGTATGGGTCAGTTGAGCGCTTACAGTTACTCTGATCTGCCAAGCGAAGAGCTCGAGGACTTGGACGAATCCGAAGACTTTTCGATCTGGTCTCAAGACGACGAGGATGTGCATTCGACCTCAACTGTGTCGCGCCCTAGACTGTCCAAGTTCGCGTCCCCCTACGCAGCCTCGGTTTCGTCAACAACCTCGCTCAACAACATGATTCACCCTTCGTTTGGCCACCACTTCGGAGGAGGCGCTAGTAACCGAATCCAGAACCAAATGCCCTTCCACGACGGCTCTGGGAACTTTGTGTCGTATCGCTCGTCATCATCACAGCTAGGATTATCTGATCACGAGTCGGATCATGGTGGGTGGGAAAGCTCCTCATCCACTACATCCTCGGCCCTCAAAGGGGAACGTATACCTCAGAGCCAACAGACATGGAACGTGGGATCAAGACGACCCGTTTCCTCCACTGAGTTCGACTCAGTAATTCACAATATTGCTCAACTGCAGACGCGACAAGTCCAACAACCACACAGTAATGCGTCAACATACACCTTTGGGGCTCACGGCAACACCTCCTCGCTTCGCCCACCGCTACCGGCCGCCTCTGTGACGCATGGCAAGAAGTCGATTGGACCATCTAAACTTCAAAAGTGCAGCATTTATGAAGCCGAGATGGAGGATATTGACGCTATGGTCATTGATATCCCCTCCAAGCAAGGATGGCTCCAGGCGTTTGAGCAGGCCTTGATCGCTTTCAGATCTGGAGAAACCGAGCTGGATATGGACGATTCGATGCTGGTAAGTGAAGCATGGCCAGCCTGTGTACAGCTATGAATGACATGACAATGACACTAAAGCGAACCGTATTGCAACCCTAGGTCAGTCCTATTAGAGCACTGGCGCGTCACTCGACGCAGGAGGATGCAATAGATCTTGTTGGGCTTTCGAAGACTCTGATACCTGAATCGTTGGCTGGTACCTCAGAATCATTAAAGGCTAGACCCCACCGTTCGTTGCCAAATTCAGACACTACCAATACCGTAACGAGTACTCGCTTGCCTGTGATCACGTCCTCATCATCAATTGAATCCTTCGCCGGCTCCACTAAGGACAACACATCGGCAGACATGAGGGAAGTAAAGCAACAGATATCAGAGTCATCATTGGAGACGCTTCAACGACTCCAGAAGAGACACAGGACCAGTTATCAGGACTTTAGCGCTCTGCATGCACCCCTTGCCTCGACTACTTCCTTCGGCATGGAGGGATCTCAGGCGGACCCCATGCATATCCACTTTTCACCGACCATTGCGATGAATCATCGGACTCAAGACAACAGCTTCGCAGACAGTGGAGGAGAGTCAAGTTCACGGACGGATATTGTCGACTTTCAAGGCCAGACAAAGTACAAATTTCTTTATCTGCTCCACTGCGTGCTGCGATGTTTGATGGGAATGATAACTAATGCTATGCGCATTCGTTTTTTCATTGCTCGGTCCAATAGTGAAAGCGATTCGAACTTACTGACCTCAGTGATATCCTCTCTTCGCCGATTCCGTGACCATGTCAAGTCTAACCTGCTGCATGCAGAATTTGACGACGACGAGGGCGACGATGGCACGCACAAATTTCTATCAGGACTTGGGCTTGAGGGCGATCTAGGGATCGAATGGGCCACAGCCGGTCGAGGCACACCTCAGTCACTTTTGGATAAGCACTGTGAGAGTAAGCTGCCTGATGCTCCTGTAGCTACACTCGGTCGACATACAGAGACCTCGGCAGCTTTTTTCTCAAATTCTAGGCCAAAAAGGGCCATAGCGCGAGAAAGTATTCGGCGCACTGGCAGCGATTGTGGACTGGAAAGTATGCTGCGCGACCAGACCAAGGAACCTGTCCCGAACACGGCTACTTCCTTTTGAAAGCTGGGAACCAGGAAATAAACTCAATTTTGCCACTAACTCTGTTACAAACGTGATTTACGGGTCAAGTCACACATTCGAATATTCTGTAAACAACCTATGCGCTTCCCCCGCCTTTAGACGAGCAGCGATCTCCATTCATCTTCGCGCCGTCATCTCTTCGTCGAATCATCACGCTGCTGAAGCAATCACATAATGACCTCTCGAGCAGCAACAGTGGCCATGTCCTCGACTTTGTCCTCAAAGGCTGCCACCGCTAACTTCCGTAAACTGATGGCAAGTCCGCAGACGCTGAGCAGGACGCTGGCTGGACTTCGAGTTCGCCCTGCCACTGACTATGTACACCAATGGGTCCCTGTCCCTGGAGTCGCCACCGCCAAGAAGGGATCTTCATCAACAGCAGCATCAGTATCACCATCACAGCCTGCAGCACCATCAATACTGACGGCCACAGGAGAGCGTACCCGAATGCGCTGGCAGCAATCGAAGGTCTCGGCGAGAGTGCTGGCAGATATCCGGAAGAAGGTTGCCCGTCTGGAGAAAGCCGGGATTGCGTTGGCGACTCACCCTGAGACGGGAGAAGCTATTTCTGCGGCACAGCTGCTGAACTTGCCTGCGCCCAAGCCTTTGTCGACAAAGACTGTGCGTATGGGTAAACCGGATAAGGGTCGCAAGCACGACAGGACTGCGCCTGAGAGGTAAGAAGACTGCCAGAGGCTTCTGCGAGAAAAGTGAAGACGAAAGAAGGAAACGGAGGATCGGGCTAGGACCGTATACTGATGCCACATCCCTGTGGGTTTGTTTTTGACGCGGATTGTTTATGAATATAGGAAGGCGAAGGTTGCTAAGGCCATTGCAGAGATGCCAAAGACGATCGAGACCTGGAAGAAGGTAAGCTATTGTTTATTGCTGCACATATTTCCTTGACGGCACGGCCTCCTTTTTTTTTTTTTTTTCATTGTTGTTGTCATTATAAATGCTAATGGCCCTGTTGCGTTGTGTATGTTTAGGCCAAGGCTGCTGAAAAGACGAAGACAAAGAGCACTCTGCCATTCTAACCCCCCTCCCCCATCCTCCTGATATCGGAAGCAACATCCCAACGCGTCAGCACGATCAGAATTGATTTTTTTTTCTCTTCAGGAACGACATATAGAAATCAAATTAAAGACTTTTTGCATGGACGATATTGTGTTGGATTGCAGCTGGTAGTAGGTCCCTATCATCTTGCAGGAAGCGATCCGGTAAAAAAAACGACGTTGGTTTTCTATCAAGGAGCTTTGCAGACATAATTTTGCGGACCCATCATTTTGCATGAGGCCATTGGATTAAAGATGGTGTTGGGGAGTTTTCTATCAAGGAGTTGTGGGAAGCATTTCCCTCTGTTCCTATGTTTCTAGGTGCATCTGGTAGGACGATCAGGTGCAAGAAAATGCGCCATAGCCATCGTACGATCTCACTTTGTGACATAAATGTGCCCTGTGCATGTGTATACATGTATGACAAACGCCCTGAAGATGTGTCCTTGTGCAATCGAACCACTTCCACCATTGAAACAACCTGTAGACCAACATCGCTACCCCCAAAAAGGACTTTTTAAAAAAAGGGTACAGTTGTAGTATGCGCCGGCGGTAAAGGCGTGCATCTAGTTCTTTTCCTTCAGACACATGTTTGGGGGCGGGAGACTACAGGGTGCAGACTGAAGGGTGGGGTAAAGCGAGAGCACTTGGAACGACAGATTCAATTGGACTGGACTGGATTGGACGGATGCTTACACGTACATGCTCATGTGTGTACGCGTTTTTTCTTTCCTTCTCCACTCCCACACACTGCTCCCCGCACTGGTCTCTTCCCTCCGATGGAGAACGACTTTTATTCCTTCTCCACCTCCCCCCTCTCTCTCCCACTCGCCCCTGCACATCTGCCTCTTGTGCATCTTGTAGAGCTTGCGCTTGTTTGTCCAGTCGATCTCTCTCCCTCTGGTTCGTTCCCTCGGACCTGAACCCAACCTTGCTGGATACTTTTTTTTTTTCCTGCTCCACAAACCAACTAAAAAAAAAAATCGCACCAACTGACTGTGTTCCGTCGTATTAAATAGTGTAACAAAACTAAGCGCGCAAGTGCTGCCCTTCCGCTCTTTGTGTCTCCTGTCTCCTGTCCACAAGGAAAGGAAGAAGGAAAAAGAAGGCGAAGGGCTGCAAGCGAGAGAGAAAGAGGGCAAGGGAAGGGAAGAGGGGAACAACCTTCTTCTCCCACGTTTCCTTCTCTTTCTTTCTTTCTTTCCCCCTTCTTCTTTCCTCTTCTTCTTTCTCCGTCTGCATTCTCATTCCTCCTCCCGCTTTCTTTTTTTTTTTTTTTTTTGCTCATTCCGGAATCACAAAAAGCAAAAGACTAGCGGTCATCCCTTATTTCTCCACACAACTGACACATTCGTACCTGAACTGCACCAGGCGACACAATTTCTCCACAAACGTGTTTCCTTTCGCAGCACAAAAAAGGAACTAACACCTCTCCAGTCTTCAATTGCACACCGCTCTACTCTCTACCAATACCGTGCAGATCCTCATGAACTTCTCGTCGCTCCTATCCGACCATGAGCAGAAGGCATTCTCCGCGTTTCTAGGCCAATTAGCTCAGGAGGAGCGCTACAAGCACAACTCGTCCGCCCCTCCGTCCACGGACCCTGCGCTATCGCATCAGCAGTTCCAGCACCAGATGCAGCACAGACAGCTGCTGCCCCTGCTTCCATTGTCCTCTCCGCCAACCTCTTTCAACGATCCCTCATCTGGTGCGGTACAGCAGCAGCGAGATTTAATCCAGCAAATCAGTGCCAATCCTCTTCTGGCACCCGGAGGAACTATTGACCCTCATGCGATGAGCCAGGCTTTCCTACAGAACCCGGAGCTGATGGCCCAGGCCAATGCGATCACACAAGCTATGGTTCTCGCGCAACAGCAACAGATGCAGATACAGCTGCAACAACAACAGCAGCAGCAACAGCAAGAGCAGGCAATGTTAAACCAACACGATCCCCACCATCTGCAAAGCGCCTATCAATCAGCGCATCAGCAGTCGCTCCAGCGCCAATACCAAGAAAATTCGCCTCCAGGACAGTACTCGCCTGACCAGCAGCAACAATACTACGGCCGTGGCATTTATGAACCCACGTCGTCCCCTGGCGGCCCGAGGACGATCACAAAACGAAAATCGCAGACGAACCTGCACACCGGTGATTCGGATGACTTGACACCTCCGCCTCTGCCTCACAATGGGAGCGTGCATCATCCTGGATCTGGATCGTATTCGTCTTCACCCAATGGCTACTATGAAGCTGGGCATGTGGCGCATGAAAACGAGGATGAGTATGGGCGACTAACGAAAAAGACGACAAGTCGTAAGGGATCATCTGGCACAGAGTCGTCATTACCTTCCAAGAGTGGCTATCGATCGAGTCGTGACGGGTACGATGCTCATCAACGCAATGGCGCTCGACGAAAGACAAGCGGATCATCCTCGTATGACATGAGTGGGCGAAGGACGGATTATCATGTAGAGAAACGGGAGGACAGCGAGGAGATTTCTTTTCCGGGACCAGTTGCAGAGCATCGGAATGGGTTGACCAGCAGCAACGTCTCTGGACTAATGGGCGAGAAGGAGGTCTCGAGACACCGACAATCTTCATCTGCAGACAGTCAGACATCCAGGACACGCTCGCCACCCTCGAACCAGGCACAGTCAAGAGCCAAGAAGGCGCCACACGAGCTGTTGACAGATGCAGAGAAAAAAGCGAACCATATTGCCTCTGAACAGAAGCGGCGCCAGAACATCCGCATTGGATTCGACTCTTTGGTGGAGATTGTTCCCACGTTGAGCGAATGCCACCGCAGCGAAGCGCTCATTTTGCAGAAATGTACGGTTTCTGTTTGTTTTGTATTTTTCGGTCATAAGGTCGATGTTTTATGCGAGAGCTCGAGAAAATAAGATGGTTCCTAACATTACTTCCTACTTTACGATGCACGTTTATAGCCGTTGACTACATTCACCGACTATTGAGTCAGAAGAACGAACTCAAAACTCGGGTGCGGGACCTGCAGGCCAACCTTGGAGAACCCAACGAGGACGATGACTCTGTAAGTTATCTTTTTTCTTGTCGTTCGCGAACAACAACAACAACAGAGTTCGTACTTTTTTTCCTTCGTTGCATCTCGAGATCTCTTGTCTTCCCTTCCTTGTCTCACCACGCGGCGCGCTCATTCACAGCGCGACTATTTTCTACTTTCCCTGTTTTCTGTTGTCTTTACTCTGGAATGATGGATGTATGTATTCGACCTATAGTACTGTCCCAAAAATCTACAATGACTGTCTAACATTCCAAACGTCTCGCTGCTCAATTGGCGGATAGGCATCCGACATGGAGATTGAAATGTACCACTGAAGCCCGGCCGGTCCTGCACCTTTTTATGTGTATACGATTTTGGGAGAGGGGATTATGCGCAGGATGTGCAAGCTGCGAAAGGCACATCGACAGTTATCCCTTCCTCTTTTTTTTTCCCACATTAGCTTTTTTCGATTTTTTCCCCCACATACACCATCCACCTGTACGCCCCACTGATGTATCATGACACTCTTTCCATACCACTATCATGTAAAGCTGTGCAATCAAGCTAGCTTTGAATGCGCCCTTTTTATCCTTTTCAGTGCTCCCTATATAGTTAATGACCTTGTTCCGACTCCTGTAAATAGTACTTTAGAGTCCACGATATCCCCTGCCTAGACTACCACAATTTTTTATGAATCCTACAACCCAGAAACGATCTCCAGTGGTAAATTTTGACTGGGTAGGGTTGGCCCAGTTACTGTTTCTATTTATCCGGGCTAGCGAAGGGATCGCGGAGCGCCGTGCTCTCAGGTCAATGTCCACGATATTGTAAGCTTCGATATTGTCCATCGCTTGCAGCCATCCCCCGAGAGCCTGCGGTCCCTCTCCTTCATGATATAACATAGGCACATCGACGAAATCAAGAACTCATCCGATTTAACAACAGCATAACCCAACGATGTAGCTTACGTATTGTATTGATAATAAATATATGGCATTTAATAATGATACTGTGAAGGAAAAGTTAGTAAAAAGCGACGAATAGATCATTAACAGCGTACCGTCTTAAAATATATCCGTGCATCATCGTGAGTTTATGTGTTGAAGCGTTTAGCGCCTTAAACGGAAAGACTAGGCCTTAGGCCTTGTGGATCTTTTAAGTCATTATGTAGGCCGCCCTGTCGAATCGATGGTGCGCAACGCGTCGTGGGTCGCTAAATTTCTTTCCGCTCAGATTGTTCTCTGGCACTCTCAATGTCTCTTTCTCATGAACTTGGATCAGTAAAGGGGATCCGGCTCAGGAATTTGACGCTGTGTTTCCACCGATCCGAACTTGGTTGACTTGAACGAGGTTTTGAGTTCTGTAACACTTGGATTTAACTGCAGCGTCTCTCCTCCTTGTTCCGCTTGTAAAATCGTAGCTGACCGTCGGGCGCTATCGCTTTTTTTCTTTTTGATTCAGCCAGTTCCTGTACGAAAACGTCGGGCTGTGAAAGAGCGACCCATCTCACCAGCTGGTTCGTGGCCAGACTGGGGTAATGGGTGTCCAGCGCATAGAACGTTGTGGACACAGCCTTGCCTTGCCGGGGTCTACCCCCAGCGACATCCATGTCGTCCCTATATTGCCCGAAAGCTTCAGAGTATGCCTGTGAATCTGGAAACAACGTCTCGATATCCTTCATCTGAATCTGGTCTTTGGAAGACTGATAACAGGGCCTGATGTCGAATGCCAGGACTTGTAACTACACTTTATCTGTGCGTAAAATAGCGATGTCGGGGTCGTGCGAGAATTTAGAAATGGGCTGAGGAACCTGGCGCTCGTCCGCGACCGCCCTTTTCCCCTCTCTATCAAATTCGAAAGTTCTCTTCACGTACTACACCAGAGAGACTGACTCGTAGGTACTCTCGAACTCCCGTTTCAGCGCCACTATTGCCGTTGGTTCTTTGTATGTCGCCGTGTTGAGCAAGTTGCTTCAGATTTTCTAATGCTTCAATGGCTAAGTAAAAGCGACCGACAGCTCTTCTCCGTTGTCATGAGACCCTATTCCTCTACAATGGTTGGCTCGTGTGGGCGAAGACCGAAATAGATCTAAAGGCTGATCTTCCTTGCGATTTTCAGAAAGGATGATTAACATGCAGGCAAACTCGCGTACGATCTGGCTAAAGTAACTCGATCCGGCGAACCGTTTTGATAAGATGCAAGGGATGTTCAGAACGACCATTTTGAAAATTGTCGACTTGATCGAGAATAAAAATACATGGACTCTAGATTGGCTTTTGGCCTTTCGTGTCAATTACTGTCAACTGAGGACTCGCGGTCTCCCATGCTGGTGATTCACTACTTTTCGATCAGAATAGGGTTGTGCGCGTCAACACTGTCTCTGTCTACTTTCACCGCCCGTGTCCTTGTATCAAGTATACGCACGACCTTGTGGCGGACTTGATCAATTGTTGAATTTGTGTGCCCGGTGCGTTCATGATGCAGCTTGGACAGATGCCAGACGCGAGGTACTCTTCCGTCTACGCAACACCGTATCCGAGAGCGGCTGTTTAAACATTTGTAAAAATATTATTTTCATAGAATAGCGAGGAAAGAGGGACGACCGCGCAAACATTGGCTACTCGTCCTCGTTTCTGAGTGTAATTAAAAGATGGAATGTGATCGAGTTACTGCCGCATAGGAACCAGAGTATGCTTGTATTGTGGGACTCGATCACGAGGCGAGGTTCTTGTTAGCAAAGAAACGGCAGACACTACGCGCTAGAGGCAAAGGAACAGGATAAGGAGTTGATTTTCGAGTTCTCTGCTACTTACCTTGTCGTATTATTCTATGGGAGAAGGGTTGTACAGCAACAGAAAGGCAGCATAAAGAGAAACCCAGTGTTGATTTCAAAGCAGGGTTCGAGAGACCGAGTGAAAGAACGAGCCTATTTTGACCTACAATTCTTTGGATAGCTTAGCAGACTAGGAACAAGAGCAGGTCCTTTTAGGCCCCAGAGGTCATACATACCAAGCAAGTCTCCTAGGTGACAAAGCACAGCACTTTAAGAGGATAGCCCAACCATTTTGGATAGCATGCTAAGACCACTTTGCCCGATAAAATAGTAGTGAATTTCATTATTGTCACCCTATTTCCCAAGCAATAGTTTTCATGTCTCTTTATAATCCGCGGCGGATCGATCATAGTGCAAGCTATACTCTGGAGCATCCAGAAGGGAATACTGATGTCTTCCCAGCTTTGTGGTTGCCATGAAGTCGTACATGATTACCGAGCGCTCCCGGTGCTCCTGGTGCTATTGTTGATGCTGTTGCTGTTGCTGTAGCACGGCCAGCAAGGCCCGAAGCGCGGTTCTGGTTACAATCGCATGGTGTAGCTACTGGAAGAAGTACAGTCCAATGAAGCCTGCGATGTTTGAGCCGGCCATAGCGCGGCTCACGACAAACGCGCCACAGTCTGCAGCGGCTCGTAATAAAGGCGAACGAATTAGTTGCTCAGCAAACAGGCAACTGAAGGTTTTAAGCTCGCACAGCATTGTAGTAGCGACGAGCGAAGAGGTTCGATTAGCCATTGGAACCATTGGATTGTGAAATAGAAAGGGTATCACGTTGAACAGGAAGAGAATAGAATGAACGGGGAAAGGTATCCACTGAGCAGGCTGAAGACACTACGTTGGATAAAAACTTGGAAACTCTATTTACTGAGGCAACGGCCATCCTCAACCTTGAAACATAGGATGGCTTCAACAAAGCTTTGAATGCAATAGAGATCAATGGTACATGGGAGGAGCATCCGCAGTTGGCGACTACAGGACCGAGAAGTGCTCTGGCTGGTGAGGAAAAACGCGTTCTGATGTGTGCACAAAAATTAAACTCAAAGCTGCCAGACTCAAAAAGAGGAAGGTATTCACTTCAATTCAAAACATCGTTTTATCGATTCCCTTTCTCATTTCAGTAGGTGACTTCGGTTTCAGAATACAAGCCACTGGCTCTCCTCAAAGGACAAGGGTACGCGCAGGGCAGAACATCACCTTCCGCTTCCTTGCCAGTACCATCTCCCCCAAGACAACCAGGGCGCATCACTACTCAGCCTCCATCGGCAACATCGCCACCGGGATAACCATCGTCAAGCACGCCATCTCCAACCTCTATCTGCTGTATCGAGTCTGCACAGGCTGTCTGCAACCAAACAGGGACGATCCAGACCCTCCAGACCCAAAACAACATAGTCAAGCAACCCACCTCTATTGCCTTTATCTTCACCCTACATCTTTGCTCTGCCGCTTTCTCGCTACTTGCTCTCTGTGGCCACACCCACCTCACTCTGTTTCCTTGGCCTTCTAAGCTATGACTACCGGTTTCTCTTCGTTTGCCCTTGGAGGAGGGGCCACGCAAAAGCAGCGTGTCTCCTATTTTTATGATGGTAAGTATCAGGATTTTTCTTTACATTTCCCTCGTTTGATGACGATGATCGGATTCCATGCTTAACGATTCTACATGGTTCTTATATGGCTACTTAGACGACGTTGGAAACTATACCTATGGTCTTGGTAAGGATTGCTGCCACCATTTTAAAAAAATTATCCATGCCTGCATGATTATTTATGGTACCGATCGACGTTGTCCACGTTTAGGTCATCCCATGAAGCCCCATCGTGTGCGCATGTGCCACAGCCTAGTCACCAATTATGGACTCTACAAGAAGATGGATGTCATTGTAAGATGCCTTCTCTCGCTTTTGCTACGGCCCGCTCTGAAGTGGAAGACGAGAGTCGGATTGCTGATATAGTTGATTTTCTCTTTTTTTTTTTTTTTTTTTTTTTTTTTTTTCAATCTGACCGTAGCGTCCAAAACGAGCGACTGCTCGACAAATGTCCCGTTTTCACAACGATGAGTACGTCGACTTTTTGTATCGTCTTACACCTGAAATGGTCCGTGGCGAAGGAATGTCGGAACAAACCAAACACCTTTGTAAGTTTTCACACGCTTGTTTCAACTACCCCTGTTTTTTTCTTATCGCCTCTTTATCGGACGCATAGACTGATTTGTCCTACGATTTTTCTTCGATTTTTCAGTCAACTTGGGCGATGATTGCCCTGTCTTTGACGGCCTTTTTGAATTCTGCTCCATTTCCGCCGGAGGTTCAATCGGTAAGCACATGGAAAATGATACGACAGGTTGTTCTCTTTTTGGTAATGGGTCGTGTACCATTGATCAATATTTAACACTCTAACCTCATTTGCACTGACTTTGATCCACTGGTACCTTAGCTGCCGCCAACAAGTTGATTCGTGGTGAATCGGATATTGCGATTAACTGGGCTGGTGGACTGCATCACGCCAAGAAGACAGAGGCGTCTGGATTCTGCTACATCAACGATATTGTGTTGGCTGTTCTGGAGCTACTGCGATATCACCAGCGTGTCCTTTATATCGATATTGACATTCACCATGGAGACGGAGTAGAGGAAGCATTCTATACCACGGATCGTGTCATGACGGCATCGTTTCACATGACAGAGTTCTTCCCAGGTACTGGAAAACTGGAGGAGACCGGCATTGGAAAGGGCAAGAACTATGCTGTCAATGTACCTCTGCAGAAGGGAATGGACGACTGGTCGTATCAGAATCTCTTTGAGCCTGTGAGTGGCCTAATCACTGTCAGTGCTTGCTATGGCGAAATGCACTGTTCTTTATACTAACAATTCCCTTATATCCGATCAACCATAGATCATCAAACACATCATGGAGTGGTATCGACCAGGAGCTGTGGTACTGCAGTGTGGAGCGGATTCTTTGGCCGGTGACAAACTTGGGTGTTTCAACCTGTCTATGAAGGGACACGCCAATTGCGTTGCCTATGTCAAGTCATTTGGAGTGCCTATGATCGTCGTGGGTGGAGGAGGCTATACAATCCGCAACGTTGCCCGAGCCTGGACGTTTGAAACAGCAGTTCTTCTCAATGAGCAGCTTCCCGAAGGTAGAGTGATTGTGTATCGTTTATAGAACAGTCAGCCATGGATGAGCATGGGAATGTTTTAACTGACTTGAACTGCTTCCTCGTACTTCCTGTTCATCTCTATAGAGCTCCCATACAATTCCTACTTTGAGTACTATGGACCGGAATATCGTTTGGATGTACCAGCCAACAACATGAAGAACGACAACACTCCGGAGGATCTACTCAATCTCAGGTTAGTAACAGTGTTCAGGCGCCGCTCTGCTCTGCTCTCCTCCCATGCGAGCGCATCTATTGATTATAACTGTTTAATTTGTAATCGCTAGGGCGCAGATCATTGAAAATCTTCGTCATATTCCATGCGCACCGTCAGTCCAGATGCAGGAAGTGCCGAGAGACTACACCTCATCAGATGATGAAGAGGAAGACGAAGAATATGATGTTAGGAATTCTCGTAAGTCCTGAATAGTTTTCGAGGGACATAACTACTTGCTCTATTGTAACACAGAACTGATTTGGCTATTTACTTGCGTTTATAGGACGAATTTTGGATTCAAGGATTGTGCCGGATGAGGAACTCTCGGATTCGGATGACGAGGATGGACGCCGCAATGTGCACGACGCTAATGGCTCGTCGTTGATCGGTTCGCCAGCCCTGGGCTCAAGCAGCGCATCAGGAAGATTGAGTGGACGTATCACCACCACTTCAGCAGCACACAATTTTGCTAGCCCTTTGGGAGCCACCAATGGGAGCAGTTCTGGCGGCGTTAGTAGCGTTGGCCGTAAGTTCGCAGTAGGAGCACCATCGGATGCAGTCCATTCAAAATCAAGCAATGCTCAGGGTGAATGGGGTCAGGCACCGGCGACAAAGTCCAGCAAAAGTGGCCAGGGCGCTGGCGGTGCTAATGCCTCAGCAGCAGCACGCCGCGGTGGCCGTGCCGTCATGACTACCCCATCTCAGAAAGCAAACAGTAAGGAGTCACAGTCGTCTTCGCAGCAATCGCAGATTATGTACACTACTCCGTCATCAAAGGGTCGCGAGATCCATTCCAAGGAGTATCAGCCTCGAGAGTCGCATCACCGTGAGCCTCTCCATCATGGACAGCAACCCTCTCAGGCAGCGCATCCTTCCCAACAAGCGTCTCACGGACAGAGTATGCAGCCTTCTCTTTTGCAGCAGGGTCCGCCTTCGCTTCACCATCTTTCGAGGGACCAACAGCAGATGCAGATGCAACACCAGCAGCGCGAGCACCAGATGCATAGGGAACACCAGCAACACCGCGATATGCAGATGATGCGTGAGCAGGAGCAGCGAGAACTCGAGCTGCGTGAACGAGAGCATCATCACCAGCTTCAGATGCACCAGCAGCGGAGAGTCGGTGGCAGCTCAAGCTCCAGCCGCTCAGAGTACCACTCACAGTACCCACCAGAGGAGATGATGCGGTACGGGGGACCTCCACAGGGCAGTGGAAGCGGTCATCCTAGCTACTCTCAGCATCCATCGGCCATGCACTATGGTCAGGGTCCCCCTCCACAGCCGTCGTCGCAGCTCCCACCCCCAAACCAACCACTGCCTCACGGCCACATGCACAGCGGAAGTGGATCACATAGTGGACCCCATTCACATTCGCTTTCTCACCCACACTCAATGCACCACCATTCCCAGGTCCCACATGGATCACATCCTCAGCATGTACAGCATTCGGGCCCTCCTCCACCCCATCATCATATACAGCCGCATCACCCATCTATGCCACAGCACTCGCATCATCATGGCCCACAGCCTCCATCGTCCCAGCAATCGTCAGGTCATCATTACTCTGGAAGTGCGGGAAGCGGCAGTGGCAGCCGAGGCAGCGGAACCGGCATCAGTCAAGGAAGACCTGGATCGAGCAGTGGACCTATACCTGGGATGCATTCGTCTGGATATGGGGGACCTAGTGGAGGCTATGGAGGGTATATGTCAGATCGGCATGAGGAAGGACCGATGGTGCACAGGGATCGTAAGGATCATTACAAGGAACCATCGAACATGGACCTGGATGATCCGCGAATGATGGACACGCGTGCCCCGCCACCATCGCATGGCGGACCTATGCCCCCGATGGGTCATCATTCGCATCCTTCACATGGAGGGTCGATAGACTATGGCAGGATGATGCCTGGAGGGCCTGCCCCGCCTCCTCCTCACTATGGACATCGTCGCGGAGGAAGTCATGGTGGAAGCCAGGGTGACCTGCGAGGGGCTGTGATGGGAAGTGAACCACCAGGATCTGGACCTTATGGCGGCTGGGACCGAGAGAGGATAGAACGGGAACGAGAGCGACACCATGGCTACAGAGGACCCAATGCACCTTAGCTTGCTTTGATATCTATTTCGTTTTTGTTTTTGCCTCGAATGGTCTGTTATCTCTTCTCCCATGCTTACGTCTAGTTGCTAAAAGCGATTAATCAATAAATAAATAAAAAAAGAAAGGACATACAGCAGGGATGGCTTTGGAACTACATCATTTATTTGGAAGTCGAAGTAGAATGAGAGGCGATAGTGGCGCGACGGCAGCATAATTGATCTGAGATACAGCCCAGCTCTTGGCACGGGTGTCGCGATTTATCCGGATAATCCGAAAGGGCCAAAGCAACCGGGCTGAGCAGCGTTTGTTATGAAAGTCGACGAGATAAGGTTTTGCTGAGACCATGCTTCGAAAAGAAACGTTCGCAGCTCAAAAAAAATAAAAATAATGCAATCGTCGTCATTAGTCTCCCTCGAGGTGTATTATACGCTCGTAGACCAGCACGGATTGATGCGCTGCAGCCAACCCCTCACCATGGAAGAGTGTATAACAAATTTCGGCACTCTAACACCCTTCTGGATAATTTGAAGCCGAGGGGACGCACATCCTTAGTATCCCAGGCAAAGGGCATGGGGATTCACTCTCGCACGAGTTCAATTGAAGACAAGTGTACAGCGCCTACCGAGATCGCCACGGTAGCTACATCCATGATCGGTATGCTTCCACCCGTACCTCTTCTAGAGCAATTTCATGGAATGCACCATTGGTGCTGCCGAAGAGGAGGCTGTGGTACGAATGTTGATGGGACCAGTCCATTTCTAGAACACTCACACAAACAAATATTTGTCCAAGTGGCCAAGAAAATCATTTTTTTGAGTCTGGGCTCTTGTTTGCGTATTCGAATAAAGTTTCTATCAGACGGTGGAGTAAATGGAGCAAAGCCGCCGCTGTGAGGGTGAAAGTGTCATTGACAATACCAATACCATACCTCGGCTATTCCGCAGCACAACAACAACAACAATACCGCGCCAACTTTAATCCATATAGACTAAGCTCCAGGTCTCGCATCAGTATAAGAGCACCTGTCTCCTATTCCTTTCCCCTTCTCACTCACTTTTTCACCTTTCATTCTCCTCTCCCATCAGCATCTGCTCTCTAACGCACTCTCACCTTCAACCATGATCTCTGCGGACGAAATTCTCTCCATCATCACAGCGGTGTTCTATCTCGGACTCCTCATCCACTTCGCGATCCGCTTCGCACGTTCGCGCTGGTGGATCTACTTCTTCATCGGTCTCTTCTGCGCAATCCGCATCGTCGCCTACGTAATCCGAGCCTATGTCGAATCGGATGCGGTCACCTATGGCTCCAGCAAATGGATATCCCTCTACATCACCGAGACGACCCTTCTCTCTATCGGCGTGATCTTCATCCTCCTTATCCTGGCCCGTCTCTATGCCTCGATCCTTCCAAAACTTCGCCACGTCGCCGGACACTCTCGCGGAAAATTTGAAGCGACTCTCGTGCTTCGCACACGACTCTTCCTCCTCCCAATCATTGCCTGCGTCATTGCCGGAGCTGTACTGGCTTCGCCCGATTATACGGAATCTCAACAGAATACTGGATTAATCCTACGAAAAGTCGCGGTGTTGGGTCTGATGGCCGTGGCCTTGATTTTCTTGTACGCGGCCTGGAACTATCGTCAGCGGTATCCGGAAAACAAGCGTGCATTCGAGCTCTGCTTGGTGGTTACGGGCCTATTCGTGGTCTCGTTGATCTATAAGATCGTGTATACGTTCCGAACGAGTGCCCTGACCACGACTTGGGCATATTTCGTGTTCTCGCCCTTATTGGAGTTGGCGGCCTTGGTGGTTCTGTCGGTAGATCTTCAGATGTATTTCTTGGGACGGAAGGAGGATAAGCTTCCGAAGGAAGAATTGCATGATCTTGCATAAACACATACCAGCACTTTCCATAGCTCTCCAGTCAAACAATATATATCAAATAAAGTGAGATTGGTAAATCTGAGTCGCATGCTAAAAAAAACTGCTTGACAACACCCTTAGTTTACTAGTCACATTTTGCTGTCAGAGCAGACCTTTATTCCTTGGCAACTTATGAGTTGTTCCTTGGCAACCCATGAAGGTTGCTCAATAGCGCGTTGCGTTCTCATGGGTCTATCGACGCACTCTCGTGTTCTGCTGTTTATATATGGGTAGTCCTCAAGTGCGCCAAGAAGCGATATGTGCCTTATGTTCTGGGATGGAGTATAAAGGTACAATTCCAGCTGTGTGGATGAGAAAAAATGCCAACCTATATCAGCGTGAACTGTACATGGAGATTTCCCGTATATTTATTTCATACTGAGCAGAACAGCTGGCGTTCAAAAAAAAAAAAAAAAAAAAAAAAAAAAAAGACTATATGGCAATTGTTGCTCATGAGGGGGATAGTGCGATAAGATACAAAGACAGTATGACAGGGGCATGCAAAAAACCATTTCAAATAGCTAGTGATCAGAATAAACAAGATGGAGCGCGATCAGAGGTGCTGCTCCAAGGCTAGTTGACAAACTCGGGCGAAGCAACTGATGATATCATATCATTTAATTAATGAGAAACATTTTTTACCGAATCGACTTCCTCGACTGAAATTCAGTCGAACAGGTTGGTATGTTTCCTGACAAACCGCACCTTTTTTATATATTTTTCCAAAGGCACTCACACAGCGTGAGAGACCCCTTACTTTTGAAAGAGTCTTTGTCATCACAACGGACAGCAACAGGCGCCGTTGTCTTACGAGCACGGACATTCTTATTACATCCGTTATCTCTGGAAAGCTTGAGGGGCCTGGGTTCTTCTTCAGCCCAGTCTTTTGGCGAAAGTTGAAGGAGGTCGATGCGAAACTAAAAAAATAAGGTACCTCCATTGCTTGCGCGCCTCGACCTATTCAACAAGGAAATACTTATGGGTAAGGGATCATGCATCCATGAAGCCCGGTTATGCACTGCTTAGCACAGGCGGGTGTCCGCATCCGAACAGGGGTCGAGGATCCAATCAAATACCACACATCCGGGCGTCTTTTTAAAAACGCGGCGGGCAACCTCTCCCACAAACCTCACGGCTCACTCAGAAAGAACCAGTCTGCCTCAACAGCCAGCGGCGTTTGCATTTTTTAAAGATGCCACTTGTGCTCCCACAGGATTCAGGCGCCCTTTTCAAATCTACCTCTTTTTAGAAAATCTCTGTCGTCTTTCTTCTTACAAATACTGAATCAAAAACATCAGTGTCTCGAGGCTGTCTAGGACTACTCAGGGCACTCTTCCAGCGAAAACTCGATCAAACCGTGCAACTGCATTTCATCGACACCTGCAGTCCATACAAGATAGAGGTCCACTTTCCGTGCCACTCACCGCTCTTTAGAGCCCGGATTGCCTGCTGTCTCCGGAAGGCCGCCACAACTGCCAATTCGTGAATTCATAAGAATATCAAGGTATTATGGACTTTATTCCTTGCTGCTGTTCTTCCTGCTATTTTTTGACCCCCTTTTTTCCCCACCACCCCTATTCCTACAATATCACTTTCATGACCACGCTCGGCCTCCTAATGATCTTGCTGGTCTTGGTCCGCCACTTCACCCATGATGTTCTCAATGATGGTGGCCTTAATCTCATGTTCCTCGTCGCTGTTAGCCTGCAGATTCTGAGGCGATGGGCGGGGAGGGGTGTCTCTAGTGCAGGCGGAGTAAACCGAGCTAGCTTCTGATAAACCCGATATGATGAACGGTGCTCCTTCATCTATATCACAATAATAGTTCAATAGCGTTAGTAGATGTCGAACGTGCAAGTAGGGTGTTGAAGAGATATGTTGCGGCCGGCATTGTGCACTTACCCTGTGATGATGCGCGAAAAACTGACGGGCTGGAAGCTGTGATCTCTGTGTTCCTGGCGGGACGCACATCGTATCCCATGCTTCTCAAAATCTGAGTGCAAGAGGAAGACACATCGTTCAAAGCTTCGACCATATTCGCTGCAATGTTTTACCCTTATATCTACTTACAAACAATATGTCAACGAGACAAGAGAGGGATCCTTATTTCCTGGGCAGACGGGCCCCTTATAAAGCACTACCCGTCTGCACCATGTTAAGGTACTTGTCTCTGCTCGTACGTACTGCGACGGGTAGGCAGTACTTTGGAGTGTGAGTTAACGAGAAAGAAAGGTGGTGTTTATTGATCTGGGTTTCTTCGTTAAATAAAAACAGGAGCCAGCCGGGTGTCCGGCTGTACCTGATCTAGTGACTGCCTTTCCG